AAAATTATGCCCATTAATCGCTTTATACAGCGACTTTCGGAAAGATTTTTCAAAAACATCCATCTTGTTGGAAATCCAGTATTACATACCCTGCCGGTATATGATCCTGCGGTTGCCTCTTCTAAAAAGCGACCCAGAGCAATCTTACAAGCTGATTATGCTCAACTACCTTTTAAACGGCGTCGGTATTGGAATACAGACGCCCAAGTGGATGCTTTCCTCTCGTTCCTAAACCCCAACCGCCCCCGCGTTAACAATGCGTAAGGGCATTGACCGGAGGAACCCTGTTCTTTAACTCTTTAAGAAGAGTCCTTCTAACGTTTCTTTAACAAGGGACAACTTATCTCCGCAGCCGCACGCGACTGCACTTAATTTCTCAATAGCTTCTTAAAAGCTTCTTTTCCACTTGCTAAACGGGTTGCTTTCGACCCCCTAAGGGGACCTTTTAACGTCGCACTAAATAGCGACCAAAAATTGTCTTCTTCTCCTTCAGCTGTATCACACTGAACTGCTACTAGAACCCGCTCAACGTGTTTCGCCCCCAGCCCTTTTTGCCCAACTCCCCGGATTGCTTGCCCTAAGGATTTTATTTGCTGTTGATATCAAGAATGAAGGAAATGTATTGCAACTTTTTATTCTTTTCAAAACTTTTGAATGTTGACTCCTCTCTCAAAAATTATTCCTGGCCCTTTTTAAACACGAAATTTAATTTAAAGATTTTCTAAGAATTTTCCTTTTTTCTCATGCGGAAGGCATTATCTGAAAAGCTTTTATTTTTATAATTAGGCTTCAAAATTTTCCATTATTAGATGAACCCCTCATTTGATGTAATTATTTTATCTCTGATGATGTGCAGTTAAAGGCCTAGCCTAGCGCACTCCGTAAATTAACTTCCTTGATCCTTGATCCTTGATTATACAATACGATTGCAAATCTGAAACAGGTAGCCGAATAAGTGGAGAAAAGGGAAGTGGAGTTCATGTAAGAAAAACGGTAAGGAAACATTAATCAAGGAAAGTGGGAAGACTACAAGTTAAGCATCAAAATTTTAAAGTTTAATGTTTATTCAGAGCATTCAAAAATTTCGTTTGTAATTTCAAATAGGATGTGTATCCTATCTTCCAGATCCTTACGACGTTTGAGTTAAGGCATCAATTTTTTTTTAATTGTTTGGATCATAAAAGTGATTTTTTTCCTCTCATATTGCTGATTTCTTTCGTGCAAATAAATAGTGGCATTAAATCTGATATGCTTGTTTTATTATTGTTAGATACGTTTTGGGATTTTTCTTCTTAATGTTTGGTTTAGAACTTCTGTTAGCATCGTGTGAAGAAATATTTTGCTTTCCATCTAGATCATTCTTTAATTTAGGACCAGTAGTCTGGCTTTTGACGGTTTGGGAATAACTGAAAGCTGTTTTGGTGGATTTATTACGATTTTTCTTTATTTTAGAGTAATTTAGAGTACCTATGATGATGCATTCACCTATGAGATTTATGTAGCTGTACCTCTGCACAAATTGTACGTCTTATTGTCATACATATAATATTGGACTTTACTCTGTAAACACAGAAAACTATTGTTATATATGCATAACCTTTGCCACGTCCATACTTAGGTATGTATCTGTTGTCAAATATACTCCCGATAGAGCATACTTAAGTACCTTACAGGAGGTCTTAGTATCTTAGATAGGGAAAGATATGGGATAAATAAACACCTGCTTACCCCTGTTAGGCATCGGGTATCCTCGTTTTCCGTCACCTGCCGTCTGTAGCTATAACTAAGAAGATAAATTTCCATGCGATGTATTGGTGCTTACAATATGATTGCCATAGTAGTATATGATTACCTTATACTAGAAAAGGAGAATTTGTGTGTGTTGATTCAGCCAGCTAATCAGTGCTCACGTTTACATAGTGTTGCCATAAGTTTTTTATAATCGCTATACTGTTTGTATATAGAATCCAGATAGATGAAAGTATCCGAAAGATTTGCTCTATATCTTTACCTGTAAAAATTGTATTTGTTTGGAGTTGTGAAAAAAGTACAATATCTTTGTTTAATTTTTTTCTTTTTTGGCATGTTTTTCACAAAATTTACATAAAAAGTTAACACCCAAAAATATTAAATTATTTTTTGTTTTATAATTTGCATTCTGTGAAGCTGTGGATGGCAACCATTTTATTTTGGAAAACATGTAAGACATTATTTTTATATTTTTAAGATAGGTAATTTTAATATTCCAATAATACAATCTAGAGGATGTTTATAAACATCCTCTAGATTACAGTACAATCTAGAGGTTATAATCTAGAGATTATATGTTACAGTACAATCTAGAGGATGTTTATAAACATCCTCTAGATTGTACTGTAACATATAACATAATAATAAGACTTGGAACGTTACTATTCCGGTCTAATTTTGTGATTTGCATTCTGTGAACAGTTTTGAGCTTATTTTTAAAATATTGTGAGTTTTAAGTCATGACTTGCCAATTTTAGTTACTGTTTACTTCAGTTCTTAGCATTATTCTTAGCATTGACAATGACATCAGCATCTTGGTTAATATGATTCAAAAAGGCAATGAGAAAAAAAATGGCGAAGAAAAAAGAAGGGCAAAGAGGAAAAACAAATCTGTTTTTAGTAGGTTTGTAGCTCCATCATGTATTTTAAAAGTAATTATTACGAACCTTCTTCTCTAGTTTAAAAAAAAAAAAAAAAAAAAAAAAAAAAAAAAAAAAAAAAAAACATTTGAAAAAAGAACTTCAGTGATACGTTTTATTTTAATTGTTTCGATTTTTCTGTTCCTGTCATTTTGAACTATTATAAAATTACTGTAACTTCGACACCAGTTGAGATTGCAAATTATATTACAAACATAAAAAAAAAATTGTGCTTAAAAATATACATATGTACGTAAAAAAGAGTAAATAAATTGACATTTTGATTTTAAACCACTACAGACGCACTCTGATGACCAATGTTTACATTTACAAGTAATGTTTTCGAAAATTTGAGTAATTAAAAGCAATGAGTAAGATCATTGAGCAGTCAAAATATTTTAATTCTATCTGTACGTTAGACGTGTTAGCATCAATATTGGGCAGTCAAAAAATGCTGTTCGCGTACTCGAGAGAGTGATTTGTAAGGATCCTAAGTTTTACTAACGTTTATTTTATTTTAAATCTTTACTATCACTTCTTATTTTCTACTTCCGGCCAGAATTAAAAGCTTTAACTTATTTATGCAAATTTGTCTTGCTAACGCCAAGTACTTAAGTGGTGGCTTTTTGCCAAGCAAGAAAGAGGAAAGAGTTATTGCAAGCCGCTTGCTATAGTAGTTTTACTCGGTTGCTGGTTGCCTTCAAGGCCAGAGGTTTAGTCCTCTTGATAATTTCAAACGTATCGTAGTTTTAGCAGCTCTCTGTACTACATACGGGACTTTGTTAAATAACGGCCAATCTTAAAGCTAGGCACTTGTATATTAATCCAAAGTTAGTTTTAGTTAGAGTTTTAGTTAGAGTTTTAGTTAATAGTTTTATATTCTTACGTTCAGACTAGAAGTGGTTGGTCTCTGTATTCCGAAGTTCCGGAAATCTCTGTAAAGATAGAAAAATAAAGGGTTTCGTATACCCTTCCTGTGTATTATCTACTTCACAATTTATTGAACATAGCTTGAGTAAGCTCCCTGTTCCGAGTCAGGACAGTTCATGTTTCCAAAGCAAGTGAAGAGGAATACAAGTCCTGATTAATTAACTAATTCTCTTCGTGTGCTTGATGAGAGTTAATTAACTAATTCTCTTCGTCTGCTTGTCGAGAGTTAATTAACTAATTCTCTTCGTCTGCTTGTCGAGAGTTAATTAACTAATTCTTATCGCGTGCTTGCCGAGAGTTAATTACCTAATTCTCTAATTGTGCTTGACGAGAATTCTCTTTGTATGCTTGACGAGAGTTAACATTAACAATGAGCAGTAAAAAAAGTTCAGTTCTCTCCGGGAGCTTGACGAGTTAAAGTCAATATTAACACTTAAAAAAATCGTTACAAATAGATCACTGGGGCACGAAAACAAGGGTTGAAACGTTGGACAAGATACACGCACATTTTAATTCAAAGCATTATATAATTCGTTAGACAAAACGGTGTTTATTGGCTTACATACGAGTATAATATTCATGAATATCTATGCAGTTTGAAAATCATTAAGAAGTGTTTGAGATATATTTTTACTTTTAAAATTTCAAATATCTTTACATAGTTTTCTTTTCTTATGTTGATTTATATCAAAAACTTGCATACTTGCATTTTAATATAGTATTTCCATCCTTTATTACATTTTTTATTATACTTTGAATACGAAAAAGATGACCTCCATCAGTTGTCGACCTCTGAATATTGAGAACTCGACCCGCGCTCCGATCCTAGGGAACGGGCTGGTTGCATTTTTAGTTTCTGTAGTTTTTTCCCATGTGACAGTCTTCTTTAGGAAGTCCTTCTCGAAGGCATTCCTTTCCCTTAGGCATATGAACTGTCGTATACTTTGTCATATTTAAAAAACCCAACCTAACCTGTACGCAAGAGATGTTACTAGTTTCAAAGCCTGTAGCATTTTACATTTAATTCTTGGTTTCAAATTTTTTTATTCTTTATTTTTTTTCCATACACGACGAATTGGTTTTTATTTTTAAAAAATTTTTTTTCCTTATTCCTTTCATGAAGAATTCAGTCTTGAAATTATCTTTATGACATAAACAACTTTTTATTAAGAAGGAAAAATTCAGACGGATTCTGTCAAAAGTGTTTCCCATACCACCACAAGTAGTATCGAATGATACAGCAAAACAAACGCATATTTTAAATCGCAAGTAGCTTCGCCCGTCACGTTTCTTCGTTAAAATAAATAAGGTTTATTTTAAAATTATATAGTATGAATTTGCGTTTTCGGTGTACATATACCATATCTGGCCCTTTTATGCTTTTATTTAGAGATATTTTCATACCCGCTTCGTCGTAGTAAGCTATTAGAAAGTTCCTATCTCATATTGTTTAGAAGCATCATTCTTTCGTAGATTTGAAAAAGTTCATGATTTTTTTACAAAACAGTTAAATTTATCCAAACTTGGTCATGCTTAAATTTACTCTAGGTAAGTTGCGTATTTACTTTATATATGTATTGCTGCTCATAAATGCTGATATAATGCCAGCTATGTTTTTATTTTTATTTAAAAAATCGTTGATTTGAATAGCAGCTGGTTTATGCATGCTTTAAATCAACCGTATTGCTTGAGAAAACATTTCAATATTGGTTTTAGTTATAATGTTATAAGTATGTACAATGTGTCCATAAAAGTTTTAAGCGGCCTTTATTTTCACAACTGTTGGTCTTAAATATATTCTAAAAACTAAGTTTGCAGTAACTGCGAAATTTTTTTTTTACCCAATCTCGAATCCTTAAAGTTATATTGACTGAAAGTTTATACTTATTCTCAAAAATAAAATAAAAAAACTTGACTCCAGTATGACAAAAATGGGCAGAAACACACGGGTCATTCAATTAAAAAGCAGTAAAAAAAAATTTTTTTTTTTCCAGAATCTCTTACTAGAATGAAATACAACACTTATTTATTTTTCAACGCAATCACTTATGTCCGCGCTGAACGAGCTTCTTGATTCCACTTGCAGAGAATTCTTGGGGGGCGTGTGCGTAACCAGTTATGCACTGCAGTTCCTCATTAGCAGCGAACCTTGGGTCTCTACGAGCTTCTTTCGGAGGGCTAAAAATGTGATAATATAAAGGTTCCAGATCCGGGGAATACGGATAATGGGGCAAGCAGACTAATTTCATTTCTTCGACTGTATCTAATGTGACTCTAGCAGTGTGTAGACTTGCGTTGTCAGGCGGTAACAGGACGCCACTGATCACCAGTCCACGCCGCTTCTTCAAAATTGCTGGTTTCAAATTTTACGCATGAAGTCTATATAAGACACACTGCTTGAATTTTGACTTCTCGACATGTAATATTCAAGAATTTCTCTCTCATGGTCGGCAAACAAAGTTAACATGAACTTACCAGCACTTCTTTGAGTTCGCACCTTCTAGGGTTTGAAGATGAAGAATGTCACCACTTCACTGAAGCTCGCTTTCATTCAGATTCGTAAAAATGCACCCAGCTTTCACCTTCCATTACAGTACGGTTAAGAAACCCCTTGCCTTTGGCCTTATACTGTTGCAAAAGCTTCCCAAACCCATCCATGCGCCTTCTTTTCATTTCTGATGGAATGAAATGTTTTGGAATCCACTTCATACACACTTCCTTGAACATCAGTACGTCATGAAAAATCTGGTGGGCTGATCCGATACTAGCGTTCTTCTTTGCTGCTGTATCATCACCGTAATACGCCTGTTTTCCCGTAAACAAAACAGCTCATCAACTCTCGCAGTGTTGTTTTCCGAGACTGCAAAGACCGGACGATCTGGACGTGGCGAAACTTCAACATTTGTTTCACGTCGTTTGAACTTTTCTGCCCACTCGTACACTTGTGTTCGACACAAATGACTTTCACGATATTGCACTGCCATGCGACGGGGAATTTTGATTGGTTCCAATCCTTCAGCTAACAGAAATTTAATGACACTCACCTCTCCACGATGATGCAAATGTGCAAGTGTGCCGCCATTTTGTTTCACTGATTCCTAACACTGCATTCTCGAAGCAGGTGTGCTAAGCTCATCTGATAGTAGTTCTAGGATACCACAAAAAATAACAAAGAAGCACACATTTTAACGAAGTTTTGTTTTATTTTCCGGTTATCTATTGAATGGATGAATATTTAATTTTAAAGTTCTGGATCTTAAAATATTTTTTCGATGTCTAAATTCAAATTGATAGCTATAGATTTCTTGGAAATAAATTAGGCAATTCTAGGTTGACTTTTCTCCCCATTTAATGTTATTTAGTGATATTCCTTTGTGATTTACGTATTGCTAACACACTTTAATTTATAATTTTGCTACATTCGGTATGCCAAAAGCATTTTTCGTACGTAATTTATAAGCTTTCAAATGCTAAAAATACTTCAATAATATTCACATGCAATTTCAGTGTTTTCCTCGTATATTTTCCCGCTAGCGATTTAGTGCCAGGTTTTGAAAATTTTAAAAATATTCGCATAAATTTGCCTTTCTCAGTGTATTCAGAGAATGAACTCCTCTAAATTTTAAAAAATGGATCCATCCACGTAGTAATTGTTTTCGTCCTGCTAACTACGAAAAACCTTACAAACTACCTGCGAAGGTCACATCGAAACTTTCCCTTCTAACTGTCGAACTTTATGCCAGTCCAATACAAGAACTGACCCATCACGACAAAGCAAATACGAACTGACATTCAGTCTACCATTTCGCTGAGTCGGCTGCCTATTCACATTCTTTAATTACTTGTGGATGTTTCGAGGCATAAGGAGTAGCAGAGATAATCGTAATAACGTTGGAGATTCAAGCTACAGGTAGTGGAAATAAATTTATCTTATTAGATGTTGTAATAATAATGTTATTGTGTACTTTTTTGGAATGTATGTATCTTTTAAAGAAATAATATCGTGATAGTTACCGTATTTATTATGCATGTATATTATGTAGCATTTGTAATTTATATATAATTACATTTCTTTCTGTTTATTATTTAATTATTTCCATATTTACTGCCTACAAAACCCGATATCATACTATAAGGTATTTTCTCCCTGCTTTCTGCATGCCTCCATGGTGTAACGGTAGCATACTCGGCGCGTATTCGAGAGGTCTAAGTTCGAGTCCCGGCAAGAGTATTGCATATTTTTCACATCTCCTATTTCACAATAACCTAGTGATTCTAAGATACTTAAAAAGAAATTTAGAAAAAGAGCTCATAAAACAATGGGGCGCTTATTGGAAGCAAGCATCAACAGGTAGAACACATTCCTTTATAGTAAATCCTACTCGTGAACTTCTCAGCAACTCTAACAGCCAAACTCAATTCGCAACGGTGCACGAAATGTGTCCAATTTCTCTTTAAATTAGGCAGTGTTTCAGCGATAACGTATTTGTCGATAAACTGGACATATACATTACTACGTATTTGGATCAGAGTATACTTTGACTTTCCACGTCAGGAAACTTACAGAGGAGCACCCTCAAGCTAGATCCTTACAATTTTAAAAGACAGAAAGCTGAATGCATTGCCACAATCTTTCCTAACTTCAATTCCCTAATTGTCCGACTTTCAGCACTTAATACAATAACTCGTACATTACCTAAGATTTCAATTTTGCTTAGAAATTTTTGGAATTAGGTAGATATTAGGTAATACGTAAAAAACAGTTTGAAAACAGTCTTTTAAATGACACATAACCAAAAGATTACAACAGTCAGTATTTTGCGAAACCTTCGGTCCTGTTATTTATTTAACTTTAATTTATTTCAATGAATTTTATTTTTCCGTACTTTTCTGTATTTTACGTTCAGTTCTATACAACGATGACTGAAAATATAACATATTATGTAGCATTTATAATATGAAAAATGTATATATCTAATTAATCAGTAGTCAAAACTTAATAACACACAGTAAGCTTAAATGTCTTATTTATCATTCTCGCTGTTCTTTTCTTGGACGTTGTTCATAAATGATTAGAAATTATATTATACTAGGCGCCACTCAATGTGATCACGTTTGTCCATGGCTGTTTTGGCAGCATTAATCGAATGTTAACATACAGCGATGAGAAAAAATATCCTTCAAAGTAGCAATGGAATTTAACTGATTTAATATAAATATAACACGAAACATAAAAATAAACACTTTCAAAGCCTTTTCATTAGGAAAAGGCAAACATTTATACAGAGGCTTTTCGCCCATTTTGCTTTGCTATAAAAAATTCGTCTGCTTGGAAATTTTTTTAACTGTAACTGTATTTTTGATAGTGGAAATTATCTTCTGTTATTTGACAATTTGGTTTTCATGCAAAATGGCGTAAAAGCAATGTATGGAAGGCTATGTTTGTGCTCTTTCAGAGGAAAATTATTCGTATTTAGTTATTAAAAAAACGCTGTGAAAAGCCGTGAGCTTTCGGTATCTAAAGCAACGATAGATAATATTATCAAGAAGAAAGAATAAAATGTCAAAAGTTTGCTTTCAAGGAGAAAAATTGTTAAAAATACATATCCAAGGAAAAAGGGGAATATTTTGGATGCTGCAAAGTTAATAACTTTAATGTTAAAAGAAAATCTTCGAAGTCAACGGAGAGTTACCATAATCATGAAAATGCTCAGTGTCAACTGTAAACAAAATGATTAATGCTGATGTGAATCTTCAAAAGGCGAATAAACGTAATGTGCATCGCCTTACTCCACGACAAATCGCAGCTGAACGCGCTGCAGAATTCTCTACGAGAAATAATTATTCGGACAAAAATGGAAAATGTTGTCACAATAGACGAATTTTGGGTATATTTAAATGACCGCAATAAAAAGAGGTCCATTTATTATCATCAAAGAAATGAAAAAGGTCTTAGAACATGGTTCAAAGAATCTAAAGAGAGTTTTTCAAAGAGATTTATGATTGTTATTGGTTTTTGATAAAACGGCAAACATAAATTAAAGAGAGTGTAGAAAACTGTTAAGGTCAACTCCGCATATAATCTGAAATTTGAAATACATTCTCTTTACCCATAATGCCATCCATCAGTAGAGCTGCTTTAAGCAAGCAGCGACAAAGCAAGCAGCGCACGTCAAAATCCACTGTTAATTTCCTGGAAAAAATGGAATAAGAAACGTGCATTAACGGCTATACACTTCACTCATATCCCTATTAAATCTCCTGATATACCATCCATGGACTTTTGCGCTTCTGGGATTTTAAAAAGCGGATTGTCGAGACGTCGACCTGCAACCCTCCTTGACTTTGGAAAGCTGTTCAAGACGAATGGCAAACAATACCTCTTCAGCTACTGAAAAGAGCTTTATTATCTCGGATATGGCGTAGAAAGATAGTGAAGAATAAGGGTTATCAAATGGAATATTTAAAACACAAAACGTTTAGGTAAAATATTTCTGTAAATACGATGAATGTCGTCTAAAGGGTATGGGAACAGCCTTAGTATATGAACATTCACAATATCTTTAAGTTCGTTTATGAACTGTAGATAATTTTTCTGGAAATTATTTGGCGATGTTCAACCCTTAATCTTTGTACTTGGGGGACAACCCCCTTCGAAAGAAGCATGCAAATATAAAACTAAAAATTAGGCAAAAAAAGCAACCTTAGTAGACGCTTTCAAGGATTTATTTTTTTCAGAAGCAAGCAAAAGAAAAAAACAAATATGCAGAATTTTTCTCTTTGCTTCTAAAGAACAGGGACCTACGTCTGAACGCTCTCAAAATCAATAGACATATTCAAATTCTACGCCGAAATAAGGCTGCTAATTTTTCTTAATTTTAAACGGTTGATTAAAATCGAAATTAAGTTATTAACCAGGTAGGAAGAATCAGGTAGGTTGCTAATTTTGCTTAATTTCAAATGGTTCATTAAAATCGAAACTAAGCTAAGACTTAATTTCTTACTTGACGACATTTCTCTCGTCAATTTTTATAATATATTTGACCTTACTTGGCTACTTCTTATGTTTAAACAATTTATTCTATAATATTTTGACCGTATTAATTGAAATGTTGATCACAATAAGCGAAGTATTTTCCATGTTCAGAACAACGAATCATAAGTAACGTAGTTAAAGTTATTTATGATTCGTTTCGCTGTCTAAGAAAATTAGATTAATCCGAATGAGGTTTAACCTTATATGTATTTCTGTAAATCAAGAAGCGTGCCTTTAATTTTTGAAACATTTGATTTCAGATAAGGCTTCAAAAACGAGTGCAGGGAGTGTATCGGGATGGCGTCCACCTCTTGTCTGGGATAAGAAAGTCCCAAATACGGAAGTTGATAAGTTCAGGAAAGTGGTCGAGCGCAAACGCAACCTACATTTTGGTAAGTTGAGAAAGAGATCTAGATACTAGTAATAAATTAAATGACTTAATTATTTACCCACCGAATGCAATTATAGTTGGGTAAATTTTTTTCTTGTTCCATTATTGGTTAGTTAGAAAAAAGATATAATTATTACGTGAGAAAGTATTTTTAACTTCTGAAGAAGAAAAAAAATTGTGTAGCTCATTAGTATCAGTAAAAGTAAAGTGTATCATGGAAAATACCAAACACAAAATGCAGTTACTTTTCATTAAGATGGAACTATTCTATGTGCCACGGATTATGAATGAACCATTAATTTACCAATTAACTACACCTGCATTATAATGATCAACTGTGAACTGTTTTATGAACATCAAATTAAAATGACCTATTAACTAAAAAACTTTGCTACTAAAACAAAATATAATAATTAATGGGAAAAAGAGTTACATATTGCACAATGTGCATAAAAATATCATTATAAATTAGTTTAAATATAAAATTAAGTGGGAAGGTATAGTAATTATATGAGATGTATATGACGAATGTAAAATGTTTGTTAATGTATGTCAGACGTGTTATTATGTAAAGGTTTAGCAAAATTATTATATTGAAAATTACCAAGCGATTTGAACCAGGTAATAACGTAACGTTATTATGTATACAATGATAAATGTATGTGGAGGTACCATGTGTTTCTATGTGAAGGTACCACTAAAGCACATTGACTAAAGGATGGGATTCTAAAAGAACCGCTGGCGGTTTGGAATGAATCAACGGTTTATTCATTGCGGACTCTAAAGATCGCCTGGAACTCTACGGAGTGTGAGTGTTTCTGGATAGTTAGTTTGTGGGACAATACTTGGTTCATCCTTTGGTAAATAAATGGTGACCCCCTATAATTTATAATTCTAACTATACCCATACCTGTAGCTGTTGTTTGGAATTCAACTTCGGGACACTAATTCATCTAATTCACAAATACGTTTTCACTAACAAATACATTTTTCTGCAAAAAATCAGTCGTAAAATAATTAAAAAGTCATTTTATTTGGAAATTTTTATTTGTCTGAAATCTATTTCTATGGTTTTCACACTAACCAATTAAACCGAAGTCACAAGTACTTTATTAATTTTTGTAGAGCCATAGAAGCAGAAAACACGAAAACTCCATCTGTATCTTTGCTGGGATTTGAAACACAGATCTTCCAATTTGAAAACTGAATTTGCTGTCATTTACATCAGGAAGGCTGCAAGGCTGGAGCGATATTTCTTTACACTTTACACTTTCTTCCATTTAGAGGGTGACTAGGTAGAGGTACAGGACTAATGAGACCAAATTCAGTTAACTGTAATAGTTTAACTGAAATAAATGAACTATTCCGTAGAATGTGAAAATTTATTAATTTAAATAATATTTTTATTAAAGTTACTAGTTATCACTTATTAATCAGCAATGCACAATAATTTTGGAGCAAAATCAGCAAAATTTTCCAAACACACGCGAATGAATAGGAATTTTGGTGCTTTGCTTATGATCATGAGACAAACTAAATCTTCTCCAGTTAAATCTTCTCCAGTTAGAGTAGATGACATACATCATCTACTCTAACTGGAGAAGATTCACACCATCCAAGAAACTGGTTTCAGAAATCTCAAGTAAGGCCCCGTTGGCGATACTATTTGATCAGAAAAAGATAATTCACAAGAATTCGTTTCGGAAGAACAAATTCACAATGAACAGAAAGAACAAAGAAGAGAAAACTCCATACACTATTAAAAACATAGGGCGTCAGACCTGAAATAAACCTCAGTCGAATGGGAGGTTTTCCCCATGTATAGTATAGCGTGGATACGAGCCAGTTCTCCTTAAAAAGACTTCCACGGGCATCCCTCCCTTTTCGTGTAGTGCCTAAGGGCGGAGCACGTAATAAGTTAAAAAAAAAAAAAAAAGAATGGGAAGTTGCTACTGCCCGACAGTGCGCCGTCACACAATTCTCATTCTCGTTAAACAGTTTCTGGTAAAGAAAAGTATCACATGTCACATTTCTGAGTTTGTCACCTTGACTGCGAGATTTGAACCTTCTAGACTATCTTATTTCTCTAAAGTGAAGTCTCACCTCAAAGATCATTAATTTATAAGTATCGAAAAGATTTCGAAAACCGTACCCGCAAACTTGAACAGTGTTCCAATAGACGAGTTCGACGAAGGAAAAAATTTCAGTATGAACGTTCTATATACTTAACAAAAATTGTACATTGAAGACTATAAAGTAAGAAGAAAGTCGTTCTTGACAACATTTATTTTGTATCAACTTGCACAGAACCCACTATTCAGTTCAAAAACTATTCAAACAGTGGCCGAACAGTAAAGTCGCTAAATATTAGCAGTTATACCTGCTCGATTCCATGTAGACAGTCTGGCTGCATAGGCGTTTTCGCGGTTTTTTTCCAAGTGGATACAAGTCAGTTTCTCTTAGAAAATCTTCTACGAAGGTATTCCTCCCCCTAGGCAAATAGTCCTCTCTTGTTTTGCCGTAATCAAATAAACCAAATCTGAATTTTAGGTTAGTAGAGAGTCAGACGACTTATCGCCTCGGCTACCATTGCAGCAACATCGAACTCAGAAAAAGATTTAAAACGAATCTTTTTAATAAAGCTTCGTTATAACAGCTTACATGACTCGTATAATTAACAGAACAAGTCAAATTTCGACATCAGCTTCTTCCTTTACGATATGCGAGAGCGTATTTTTCAGCTATGAATCAGAAGTTTTTGATATTATTTGAATCTTTAACAGAAGAATTTGTTGATTCACAAATTGTGAATTTTTCTGAAAACTCTTAAGACTTTCCTTTTCTTCATTTCTTGTCTCAGATGACAAGGATAAACCTTAAATGTCTAACAAAGTAATTTTTTTAAAAAAGAAACTAGACTTTTCTATGTTTTTTCCCGATTTTTCTTTTATTTTAAAAAAAGAAAGAATATTTTTCAACACAATACATCTTATCATTATCTCGAATGATTGCAGAAGTGAACATTAAAAATGTTTCCTAAGATAAAAACTTAAATTTCATATTATCAGAATTCTTAGCTCTGCTTAGATTTTAACTACAAGTTACCTCTGTAGGCTAGACTATTTTGGCATTTGATAAATTTATGGTTTTTCACTAATATTGCCATATTCAACAATATTATTCACAATTGCCATATTCAACTAATCACCTCCCGGTTGTTTCACTAACCGAGAGGTGATTAGTTGAATATGGTAATTGAGCAATATGAGAGCTGTCTGTCTAAGAGGACGGATGACTTCGTGGAGGGCTTTCAAAGGAAAACTGGTTCATATCTGCTTTACACAGGGAGAAGCCAATGAAAAGCTCATACAATAGGCACGTTTTGCAAGATTTGATACCGATGCCTCAAATCCCAATGTTTCCAGTGTTGAACCTAGTGTTCAGCGATCTTAACGACTCAGCGGCTGTTGGGATTGCTAATTAAGAGCTAAACATTATTAAATGCAAATTCAACCAGATCATCTTTAGCTATCTCATTTGCCTGGCCATCGATGGGCTTATATTATGGTCAAACTGGACTTAACAATGTCAGTTTCTTTCAATTTTTTTTTTTTTTTAAATTTTTTTTTACGTAGGATATGATAAAGAGCTAAAAGGCTGAGCTTATCATACAATATGATAAGGCTTATAATATCATAAACATAGTATAAAGAGATATGAATGAGCTTATGAAATGATAAAGAGCTGAGAGATTGAGCGAATAAATTTTTTACACATCATATGATGAACAGCGAAGCATTTGAGATGCATATCATAGTACTGACATTATGTACATTAAATAATCACTGTTTCCATTATAGATTCCTACCGTGATTTTCATAAATGGTCTGTTGAAAATTATGCAGATTTTTGGGAAGAAGTTTGGAATTACTTTGATGTGATTTCATCTAAACCTTACGAGCAAGTAAGCATCTCCTATTCCACTATTAATATTTAGTAAGAATAATAAGTACTAGTAATATTGTTAAACCATTTTGAAACAATACGAGAAAGATTTTAAAACAGCAGCTTTGAGACTAAGTTGATTGGGTTGAAAGAATTCGATACGCAATTCAAAGTACATTTATCTGCGCATAGTACTGGTGGTATCCGCCCGAAAACATTGCTGTGTAAGCAATGCAAAAAAAGTTAGCGTTGAAACCATCGTGGGAGAAAAGAAAGGAAAATAAAGTATCGCAGTTCTGAAACGTCGTGGTAGAATACGAACCGGTGCAAAAACATCGCAATTTAAAATCATCGTCGGATAAAAATATCATGGTAAAGCATAAAACACCTATAAATCGTCGCTTGAAGAAGATAATACTCGTATCGCAGGCATGAGTTTTCCGACTGTAAAATTGCTAAATGAATTTTCGCGGCATGATTTGTGAGAGCATTATGCCTCACAAAAGTAAGCAATTTTTTTACCTCTATATTTCATATTTCTTATATTAACTAAAGAAGTGTTTCTGAGAAAGCAAGAAGGAAACTCAAAATCCGGAAATTATTAAACATTAATGTAACGCATAGAAGTTAGTATAATTTTAAACTTATACTCCTAATTATTAAAACTTATTATTTAACTAACCATGTTCCATGTTAACATAGTTTGTAAAGAAACAATTTAGTTCTTAATTTAAGAAAGCTGGATTTTAAACAACTCTTCAGGGTATTAAAAACACCTATTTGCAGCAATGATTCTTTTATGTCTGTTCCCAAATAAGTAAAACTGTTAACTTTTCCAAATTTATAATTGCCAATTTCTAGATGACTAAGCTGTAACTCAGACTTTAAGCAAGGCAAATAGTTAGTATTATTTTCGTTTACAAATAAATTAATTCTTTTAGCACTTTGTTCCAATGCCATAAATGCCTGTTTGGGAGCCGGTGGTTAGGGCAATATTGCCAATGCCATCAGCATAAGCCAATATTTGCACTGAGTAAAAATATTTCCTCTAATATTGATCTTTGAGTCTCTAATAATTTTTTCGAGTACTATGTTAAACAGGAGGCATGCCAATGCATCTCACTGTCTCACTCTATTTTTTACCTCAAGCTCTTCTGTGAAATCACCCTGTATGCTTACTTGAATTATTGGTTTCTTTGTGAGTCAAGACTACAAGTGCTACAAGTTTTTGATTAAGTTATTTATTAATGCCTTTTAGCTGTATATTAGCTGTACTTTTAGCTGTACATTTAGATGTACATATTTTTAATGAAATTTTAACTTTTTAGGTGGTAGTTAAAGCAGGTGACGGTTTTCTGGATTATGACTGGTTCCCTGGTGCGGCTATGAATTATGCCGAAAATGTTCTGCGGATAAGAGACGACAGAATTGCTCTCATTTATCTGGGTAATTTGTCTGATAATATTATTAAATGAGCTGTAAAGCATTCACTAAAATGTAAGAAAACTTTATTTTTTCCATGTACATAATATTAAACTATTAATTAAGATTCATCGGGACTTATAAAAAGACATTGATAATAAATAACTAAATATTTCTCCTAATATTTAAGTAAAGAACCTGCAAAATATGCTCAATTTCCTGCCAGAATACTTGAATTGATAAATATTGAAAGAACACGGAACGCTAATATATTAGGGATACACGGAACGTGGATATACTGCAAGTATAAAACTGTGGTCATGGTTTTAGAATATCACACTGATACTTTCTCAATTTTGATCTCTTAATATAGAAGAATGAAACTACATGCAACTTAGACAATGTAAAGGGTCGGCTCTAGAGTTGGACGATTCGCTTTGGAATTGATTCAAAAGAATCGATTAACTTTACTCAGCAAATTTAATCTGATCCTAAAAAACGCAGTTGTAGCTATTTTAACATTCACGGACAGCTCTCGTTGGAAGCTTGCCAGGAATTGAGATCTGCTCTTAGTTCACGAACTGATTCACGTTACTGAGGGACCGATCACCTGATTCGCGGAAAAAGAGCGGAGTTCTTTTATAATTCATAGTCCTTGTTGAAAGTGTGCCAGGAAATTTCGATTCCCATTTTAGGGAAGGAAAGATTGTTTGTATTCCCATGTTAAAAGTGAGTTTAACATGAGTTTTTAATTTCCCAGCATTTTGAAAAATTTATATTCTAAAATTTTATTGTTACAGTTTAGAAAGAAGGTTTTATAGAATATCAGAACCACAGTTGAAAGAAATCAGTGCAGAGAGTTAGCTCTTGATTGAGTCGATTCCGCCGATCCCACTGCTAGTTCGATTTTGTTCGCTGTTCGTTCCAACATCGCTAAGCGGTCCCGATTCCGTTATTCTTTCGATTCTTTTTGCTGTTCGGTGCGTTCTCGCAGATCGGTGTTGATTCCTCGTCGCTCCTGATCGTTTTCATCACATCAAGGTTATTGTTAGTGAACGGTGAGTCATGAGAAAGATTCATTTCGATGAGCGATCCCATAAAAGAGTAGTTTATTCCAACTCTAGCTGGCTCTCGATTCTTGTAAGAATACGTGACTGAAATATTTGTTTAATGAACTGAAAGTTTAAACATTTGTTTCAAAAATATTTAAGCAACTTTATTATTGCCCATTTGCTTCTCGATGTTCCATTACTGTCCTTTGGACTACTAAGGGCGGTAGGAATTGGACATCCTCAGCGCTCATCAGTGAGCGATAACCGCCATCTATGGGAAATTATGTTCTGGCATTAGTAGTGTTTCGAGGTGTCTTCAAGTCCCATCAACGGGCAATATCACGGACACTGGAAAAACGTACTTTACAGTAGCTTTTCTCAGTTTGCAGTCCTTGAAGCCTGTCCTTGTGATACTTTTAGACTTTCCAAAAAGACAAAAACAACTAAAATTCAAATTAGTTGCGTTTATTTCATTATAGTTGAAACTAAGTTTGCAAATTACACATGCAAATGTTCTATCCTTTTTCTATGAGGACTGACATTGTATGAAATTTTTTACCGATTATACTATTTACGGACTTCTACTCTAATGTCTTTGAAATGAAAGAGAGATTTAAAGCACTGTGACTGTGGCGCTGCTTATCAGTATCATTCAAACATAGAGCTATTGTACAAGATTCGGCATGCTCATCCACCTCATTAATGCGAGCACAAACGTTTATTCATTTTTAATAAGATTATTTAAAAGGAATTATTAAAAACATAAATTTGCTTTTATTCACTTAATTACTTAATATCAATATAAAATGAAATCTTTTTAAATTAATAATGCTTTAAAAATATAAATATGCTGGTAGTAACTTATGCTGAAAAATTTCCTTTGAAAGAGACAAAGATAAGCTGGTCCGTAGAACATCCTAAGTAGTCCCCGAAAAGAAATGAGAAAGGCTGCTGTGTAAGAATCACATTAGAAGTTAAATTTGTATTTATAGAATCGTTCTTACTCAAAATGAAATTTTCGTAAATATCTGCGTCTTTATTGAAGAAGTCAAACAACAAAAATCAGCGTAATATTTGTAAATTTTGCAGGACTAGTTTTGATGTTTTAACTAAAGAACTAGCTTCTTCAGCTGTCTAAGTGCAAATGAATGAGATAATATACGGTGATAAGATAAGAATGGATGGAAAATATCAAGCTACTGGCGCCATCTATTGATGAAGAAAGAAAACTAAAACATAATTTCGTTAAAGGCTGAGGGTTAAAGATGGATTGGAATTAGAATTGTTAACTAGAACCGAAAGATATTTTGAATGTGGAAAGCCTCTATAGTCTTATCTTATTACCATATCTTATCTCTTTCATTTGCACTTAAGCAGCTGAGGAAGCCGGTTCTGTAGTTAAACCAACCGAGTCCTTCAAAATTTACAAATATTACGCTGATTCTTGTTGTATGACTTCTTAAATAATCATTATTCGGGGTGTTATTTTAACCTAAATCTGCATCTGTTTTTAAGAAACTGAGTTGTAGGATCAGTGCTTTATGAATAATATAATATAATGAATGAAATATAATAATATAATGAATGAAATATAATAATATAATGAATGAAATATAATAATATAATTAATGAATACAATATAACGCATTTAAATAAATGAATACGTATAATATAATATAAAAGAAATACGTATAATATCATATGAAAGAAATATATATGATATAATATATGATCGCAATTAATGAAATAAATTATTTTTAAAATCTTTCTGTTACTTTTGTTTGCACGCGTCAATAAAACTAAATTCGCTGACATGAAAATGACTTTTAAAGATGTACAATTAATTTATTGCATGTTTTTATGGAGAATTCTTTTATTATCAAAAATATAATATTTATTATTATTTGTAACAATATTATGCATTAAATTTAAAGTCGTGTTCTTTTCCTAGATGAGACAGGATACGAAGAAACTGTTACTTTCGCAGAAATGTTTGAAGAGGTCAAACTTTACTCAGCGGCATTCCGGAAACACGGCTTAAAAATAGGAGATGTAGTAGCCTGTGAGTAATTAAGTGTAATTAAGGAAGACAGATATTTTAATTAGAATAGTATCAAAATCATTCAGATATTATTTTTCATCGGAATTTATGTGTGTGTTTCTTTTAAAATATACAACAATATAAAACCTCATACTCGGTATTATTTTAAGAAATGTCTATGAAATCGATCAGCGATGTACTAAGATGTGCTCTGCACTATAAAACGTAGGCAAAGAAAATTTACTAGCATGTTTATCTGTAATGAAGTCTTACTCATATTTGCAGAGATAACCCAAAATAATCAGAATGAAAAGGATTTCGAAATTACATTAGTGCTTCTAGGCCTTGTTAGCTTAGCACGTCCCCAGATTATTTGCCTATAAATTTTTATTATGATGATTAAAATGCTCCAAGCGAAAAACACATGGTAACGTGTGAAGTTTTAGCCCAAAAGGGCTAAGTTTTAAAACACAATTTTGCGTTGTTTCACTTTTCATTCGAATTTATTGCCATTCAGAAAAACATAAGATATTATTTCATATTTAATCTGTCTGTTATTAATTAGCAAACTAAACTATTTAAAATCAATAAATGCATTTCTTAAGAGTATCATTTTTTTTTTTTTTTTTTACTTTTCAATCGAATTGATTCAAATAAAAATGCATTTAATTCATGACTGATCTAAAGTTAAAAATATTAAATATTTTTATAGAATTACGTATTTTTTTCATTTTTCAAATATACAGAAGATATATACTCCCATGTTAGTCTAGCTGTAGATTCATCTAACGACTTAAGTCTTTTTAATAAGCCCTTTTGTGCGGCCCAACAACGGCAGACCAGTGAAATCGCTGAGCACTGGTAGTTTACTAATTCAGAAGTCAAACAAACTGGTAGTTTCCCTTAGACTGTCTTCCATGGAGCATTCCTACCCCCCAGGCAGATAGCCCTCGAGTGCTTTGCCATGAGCCTTTGGGCGATCGTTAAAATCTGAACCTTTTCAGATATTTTAATCACTTCTTCATTAAACATGAATGCACCTATTTTGGAAGAAAAATCATGCAAAATATTTATTCATTTATATCGATTAGATATAGTTAGTTAAACTTGCACTCTGCAGAGCAGATGCGAAGGTTCTATATTTATTCTGTTTCTTTGAGTAGGTTGTTTTGAAAGATATGGTTACCCATTTTTGAAGAAAATTTCTAACTATGCTTATCTTTTATCCTAAAAGGGAAGGTTTTTGTTTAGTTTATTTAATCATCGCAAAGCACTCTAGGGTTATCTGCCGTAGGATCACGATGCCTTCGTGGAGGACTTTACAAGGAAAATTGGGTGGTATACTGTTAACCAGAGAACAGGGGCTCCATTACCTAGCTGACATGATGTCTGCCTTACACGGATTAAAGCCCCTGCCTCCAGAAGCTATTTATTATGACTAAGCAGAATAAGTTTACAGTGGCATACAAGGCCTTCAAGAACACAAGAACATAAGTAACATAGTCATAAAAGACCCTAAAGAAAGCATGTTACAAGTAGTACCTATAGCATTTAAACAATAAACCGAGTATACTTTCATAATTTGTACTGAAAATACGAAATACTTTCAAAACTGAGTCCAACTAATTTAAATAAAAACTATAGTACAAACAAAATATAATACATCCATTACTGCATTATACACAATTAATATCAATTAGATTCACAAATTCAAGAAGAACCATTCAATTTAGAAAAAAAAATGCATAAAGATAAACTAAGACAATAATAAACTGCCAAATAAAATTTTTTCATATGAATTCAGAATTAAGAACCAATAATTATGATACCTGAACAATATTATCATAAAATACACTGAACCTGAGATATTATTACAATGCAAAACATAAATTTGGTTTAAAAACAAAACCACTCCAAGTAATATAAAAACTCTACATCAGGTTTGCTGGCGACGCGATAGAAATACAGTACAAGAATAATGCCAACATAAAATATATGAAAAATTCCGATTCCAAAAAGCACATACATTCAAAAATAAGTCAAAGAAAATTATTATAAAATACTGCCTTAAATGCACATTTTACAATAGAGACCTCAAGTAAAACCAATAAAATTCACAAAAACAGGTCAACTATTCAATTCAGAAAAGTGCAAAAAGGTATGCAAAATAATTATTCTAGATTAGGTTTGCTGGCATCGCTAAGACAAATGCAATACTAGAAAAATGCCGACACAAAATTTTACAGAATTTCAAAATCAAAAACAAAATGCATTCAAAATTAAAGTAAAGAAAATTAATATAAAATAACTATCATGAATGCAAATTTTTATAATAGAATGCACAATTAATGCCTATCAAATTCACCAAAGTGAATCAATTCAATTACAAAAGAACGCATTAAAATATGCAAAATAATAAAATTGTCACAAAAATTTTCTGTTAAATTTAATTACAATTAAAAAAACTAATAGGCTACAATTAACCGTTAGTACAATTTATAAGAGCATAGATAATGCATTTCATAATGTCAGTCATACGTCTGTTCTACGTAAAACCACTTCTTCTAATTTTTAAATCAGTAACATAAGTAGTGGAAACAACAAAACTGAACAATAAATAATAAGCATCAAACACACAAAGTTAAACAATTACCATCATACAGTAAAAATCTAACAGTCGCTGAAAGTCAATTACTCACTCCCAATAGAGATGATCTGAGAGAATTATTTACAGAAAAATTTAATTCCTGACAGAAAAGCATAATTTCCTTAAATTTCTTACTCTCACTAGAGTTTTTTAATATCATTTCAGCCCATTTTGGCCTGTGTTGATCTAAAGGTTTATTCAAGTGAAGGTTTTTAGTAAATGGACAGTGAAAGATAAAGTGTTCAGGGTTCTCCCAACTCCCCGCAAGAACAAAGTTCAGTCGTACGTAGTCCAAATCGAAAGAGATATGTATTAAAAGGTCCATGACCAGTGAAAAATTGAGTATAAAAATTCGATGTGTGCTTCTTTGACTGAGTGAAACTTTTGGAAAGAAAGAGAAGACTCGTCTTCCTGTGGAGTCATTAGTCCATCTTTCCTGCCATTTCACAAGCAGTGTATTTAAAGTCTCGCTCTTCAAGTGTGAAAAAGGCAATTTCGTTGGATTTTCAATTCCGTTGATATCATTAGCAGCCCATTTAGCTAAAGTATCTGCTTCTTCGTTGCCCAGTATGCCAACATGAGCTGGCACCCAGGTAAGAAGTGGTCTTTCAGATGAATTAAATCTTAGCAATTTCTCTTGAATAACTTGTACAATCGGATTTCTATTCGTAATGTCTGAGATAGCCTGCAGACTAGATAATGAATCACTGAAGATCTTAGTCTTGCCCAATAGATTTCTTTTAACATAAGTGAGAGCAGCGTTTATCGCTAAAAGTTCTGCCTGAAAAACAGTATTTCTGTTATCAAGCTTTCGAGTCCATGTATATACCTTTTGAGTATTGGGTATACTGACACACATAAGGAAAACCATAAAAACGCCCATGCAACCAACCCATTCGCCAGGTCTCGAGCTCCGGACCGAGCTACCAGTGTTCGCCGACTTTAACCGCTCAACCGCTGGTAAGAACTTAAAAAGAACGGATTTTAAAGTTAGTAAAGAAAATGAATTTCGGTTGTCTACGTTTCTGTATTTTTTTGGGGGGGGGGTTTATGAGATTAAAGCAAAATCTCGAGGGCTATCTGCCTAAGGGGAGAGGATGCCTTCATGAAGGACTTTCTGAGGAAAACTGGCTCGTATACTCGTTACACATGAGGAAAAACACGAAAACGCCCATGCAGATTCGCGGGATTCGAACTTCCGAATGAGCTACCAGTGTTCCGCCACTTTACTGCTCGGGCGCCGGTGGACCGTCTACATTTCTGCAACTAACTTCTGGATCACTTATTTACAATTTCGGTTGTTTAAACTTCTAGAACGAAGCCTCGGTAGCGCAGTAGGTAGCGCGTCAGTCTCATAATCTCATTAAAAGAGAAATCTGAAGGTTCGATCCTCACCCGGGGCAGTGACCTTTTTACTACACGACGGGAGTCGTCTTTATTCACATATAAATGGTTTAAATGGGTTTAGAAGCACCATTTGCTTAAAGATTTTAAGTTATAACAGTATTTTTTAATCCTGTAAATTATTTTTATCTTTAATATTTTAAATTTAGCTTATTTATTGATTCCGGCAGCTCAATTTTTCATAATGTAAATTAATTTTATTCATAAAAAATGGTTTAAGTTCTTAAAGCAATATTTCTTTAAATATTTAAATTTTATTATAGCTAAGATGGTAATTTTTTAATGAACTTCATCTTAATTTTTATCTTCGATATTTTAAATTCGTCCCACTTAATCATTAGCGCAGCTCACTTTTTCGACGTATAAATTATCTGTATTCATATGAAAATGGTTTATATTACTTTACCTATATTATAATATTTGCTTAATTATTTTAATTTTAACTGCAGCTATAACAGTTTTTTACCTTCCTCCAACTTACATACTGTAACCCGAAAGGATCTTGACTTGGAGCTTTGGATTTTCATGGGAAAATATAGAGTCGCTAAAATAAGATTTTAATCTAAATAATTGCAGCACGAATTAAGCCTGTTTCTCTATTTGCATTACATTTAAACACGGTATTTATTAACATTAAGCCGCAGAAGAGAATGATTTTTATAGTAGCGTTTAGTTTGCAGAACTTAACTCTTCTCATGCAGGTGTGTTACCAAAAATTGTATTTATTATTCTCTTGTAGTTGGCAATGACGAGGCGCAAGAGGATATATCAGTTTACTTCTTACTGGTCCCGGAATGTACGGTATTCAGTATTCAGCTGCCATTCACAAAATCATTAAATTATAATTATGTTACCAAAAATTGTATTTGTCATTTTCTTGTAGTTGACAATGACGGGGGCACACAAGCAGATAGTTGAGTCGGAAACATTTAATACTTAATTTCTTATTGATCCCGGAATGCATGGTATTCAGTATTCAGCTGTCATTCCAAAAATGATCAGAAATAAAGCAGAAGAAAATTAAGTTATTGTATTCGTTTCAAAGTATTCATTTTAAATATGTTCTAAATATCAAAGCATTCATTTTAAATGTATTATAAATATCAAAGCATTCATTTTAAATATATTATAAATATAATAATAAAAAATAATAATTTTGTACAGAGGATCTGTGCCTGATTTTTAAAGAAATGAATTAAAAAATTCTAAAACGCTAAGTAATACCCCCCATTTAGTATTTTATTTCTGTTTTAAAGTTAATGTTATTAAAGCCTAGTATGGGAGGACTCGTAAAATTTTAGATATTTTAAATTCTACAAAGGAATATTTGGAAAGCCCCTTGAAAGTGGAGGCTTAGGGCACGTGCTCGTTTGCCTATGAACAAAATGGGACCCGAAATATTTTGAGAGTTTCCCCCTCCCCCAGAATACTTATCACCAAAATTAACGATTTTATAAAGTTCAAAATATGATAAATTTTGGCCTTTTCCTCCAGTTACAAATGTTATGAATATACCCATTTTTTTAAATTGTGAATATCTTTGCAGGTTATATGTCGAACAGAAAAGAAGCCTTATTTGCAATGCTGGCAACTGTAAGCATAGGGGCAATCTGGGGTGCAGTTCAGCCTTTTTATGGAGCCCGAGTACGTAAATATTACAATTTAGTTTGATGCAGCAATTAAATATATTTTTTATTTATCTTTGGAAAATCGAGAATAAAATTGTGTTTACAGAACCAACAGCATTTTTGGTGTAAATCAAAAAGAAAGAGAATTGAAATTAAAACTAAGTTAATTGTAAGTTAGCCGAAAAGACTACAGAGAAAAAAATGGGCGCAAGTTGGTTTGAAAAATCTAATATCGGCATGACAGGCCTAATGACAACGCCACAGATGTACAGCTCTCAAGAGAATAAAATAGCAAACGTGGCTTGCAGCGGGCAGAACACGCTCTGATTCTACCCTCTAAAATCTTGCTTTAAATACTGCGTCTTTTTTACCTAATATGGATACCTACGAAATAGGAATTAGCATTTTTGTGAGAAAATGGAAAGCGAGAAACGCAGGAAAGATAATTAGCATAAAATAACTGGTTAATGAAACTAAATGTATACTCTACAAAATATAAATCTGGTTTTGTTTTTCGTGTGCGATACTACTGTTCTTTATGTAATGCCCAGGAACGTTTTCCAGATCATGTATGCAGCTTGCCTGCAGTTTGAATGTAAGAACACTCGAATAAATGGTGCTAATTTTAAAAATCTTGTAAGCCTCCTTGAAATATTCGGCAAAGACATTCAAAGTACTTTAATGACCTTTCTATGAAATAAGACATTTTTTAAGTCGGTGTATAGAATGCAAACATTCAAGGAAACTGACATAGACGCTTCTTTACGACTCAAACCCATCTTTTAAAAATGTATATCATACATACCCCCGCTATTGATTACTCTTATTAAAGTTTCGGAATAATAGTAGAAATTGTTAAAATATTTCCACATGATAAAGTCACGGCCACAGAAAGTAAGGAAGTACTATTCTTTAACAATTCCAAAATTGCAGAATGAACTCACGTTTATCTACGAGGGCATTTCGAAAAGTAAAGATACAATGGCTCGCATTCCTTAAAAACACATTTATTTAGAAAATGTCAGTTACATCTTATTAACTGGATTATTTATTATTTTTCGACATAATCACCCTCGTTATCCAAACATTTGTTAAGTTGGTGCACAAGCTTTTGTATCCCACAGTCATAGAAGGTTGCCGCCTGTTGGAACCCAGCGCGCACACAATTTCCTGTACCCTAACTTGACCGTCATAACTTCATAAAGAGTTGTCATTGACACTTCCGGCATGATCTGATGCAATTTGAGACGTCTATTCGCACGAATTGCTTCCTCTGTTCTCTGAAGAAGGGCATCAGAGATCACAGATGGCCGACCTGTTCTTTGCTCGTCATGAACATCGGTCCCACCTTCAGAGCAATGACGACACCATTTCGTTACATTTCGTCGATTCATAATGTTCCCATAAACAGAAACAATTTCTTTGTGAATATCCGCTGGTCGCTGACCTTTTGCATGAAGAAAACGTATGACGGAGCGTACTTCGCATTTGACGGGATTCTGAATCGGAGCAGCCATTTTAAACACGACCTACTCCAACCAGAATCAACGTTGAAATGCCGAACGACCGCGAAGAGAAAGTTAACGGTTTAAGGTTAACACCTGTGTTGCCAACTTGCTCACCAAAACTTTTCTTTTCCTCTGCTGTACGGTGTATCTTTACTTTTCGAAATGATCTCGTATTTTGACAAATTTTCTGTGTCAATAAAAGTGCTTGAAGCAAAAGACACCCTCCATCGCAGGCGCTATACAAATCACAGAAAGTGTTTACACCTCTGTTCATTTAATCTCCGTAGATAAATGAAACACGGTAAACAATCAAACAAAATTATGAGAAATTTATAGCCTGCCATCATGAATTTGAACCCATTATTAAACTCGAAAAACTGTTGGTGAGAACTTTTCCGTTAAACCTTCACTTTCTCCGTATGTTAGGAATGCTGCTGTTGTATCTGCTGATATATGAACATCGTCTTTTCACTGTTCACATACATGTCATCCAACAGGCCCCATTATTTTTAATTTGATAATTTAAAAATCATTTTGAAAAAATGGAATTCTAAAGGGCTAGAATTCTCATGAATTAATTAAAACACTAATGGAATTGTACTAACAAGGATAACGAATAATTTTCTATATAATATCTGAGTTATTCCCACATTGGTTTTACAAAATTTAAAAGAATTAAAAAATTAAGAAAAGGATATGATGAAGTATGAATGTGTAGCAGCTCCCTTTAAATATAATATTATCTTTGTTGTTGCGAAGTTTACATTCTCTAGATTGGCAATAAAAAAGATAACATTATCGGTAGAGGGAGCTGCTACAAATGAAGTACTAACTAACGGTACTTGTATTAAAAGACTCTAATTACCAAAAACCTATCATTTATAACTTCATCCTTTTACATAAGAATTCAATAAAGAACATTAAAAGCAAGAAACATAATGAATTCAGGTTAAAAGTACTAAAATATTTATCAATTAATGAAAATGAGTTCATATACTCATTTAATGATGCATTTTAAAAATTTAATTTTTTATGCAGTAAGCAAATAAGATATTATTTTATTTTTATTTTTCGGTTGAAGATTGAATAAACAAATAATATGATTACTCTGTGAACATTTTTATAAAGCGTGTGTCATCTATACATTTCAGTCTACTGCAAAGATCCTTAAAATGATGGATGCGAAATGTTTAATCACTATTGATCATCACCAAGATTATGGCAAAGATTATAATCTCTTAGAAAATCTTCCTGTTATAGTAGAGAGTAAGTAACATAACACACATATTTTGATGTTTTGATATTTTTCTTTTTACACCATTTTACATTCAGAAGTGAAATCCGGAAATAAAAGCGCTGCTTTTAAAATTAAAATTATTTTTCAGCTTGGTTTTAAAGTTATTCAACTGTAAAAATTTAGTTTTATTAGCTGGCAACTGTAGTTAATATTTCTGTTTAAGAAGAGAAGTGAAATATTTGTATGATTTAAAAAATGATTTACATGTTTTACTTAAACATTCATAAAAACTTTGAAGTTTTAAAGGGAAATCTAAGGTTTCTTTTCATTGCAATTATTTCCAGCACTTTCTTTTTTTTGTTGCGAAAGGTATAATTTGCTAATGTGATCCATCACAGCATAGTGCGGCGATATCGTTGAACGATTCTGGCATATTTTGCAAGCGAAACAGCCTGAAAAACGTAAGCAAAAAGTACCATCCTATTGAATGGCAGTGTACTTCCTTATGCTGCCTGGATCATGGAATGGAACTGTCTTGAATAGAAGATATTTTACTCTGAAATGTTTTCATTCACAGAGCATTGACAAAGTTCATGAAAGGGCGATGGTTCGATGCTGAAGAACATTAAAAAAATGGAATTATCGAAAGTTCTAAGCAGTAGACGAGATACTTAAGTATCTTTAATATAATTCGTTAAAGGGAGACTACCTTAGCTACGATGATATCCAAGGCAATTCAACAGATTGAACCTATATAGAAGTCTTCAATATTATGACCTATGTGGCTACAAAGCACCAGATTATATCCTTAAGGAAGTACAGTGATACCTCAGTATACGCCATTAATCAGTTTCATATCCTTGCACCTATAACAAATGATCTTTTCCAGGAATAAGCAACGGAGAAATAATTAAATCGTTCTTATAAAATAATCCTTGTGTTATTATTATAGCTCTGTTTAACACTAAAATACTACAAATCCCTTAAATAAAATATATACTGTAAATAAATGAAGCGCTGCGAAGCTGTATTGTACTAAATTTCCCTTTTTATTATAGCTCTGTTTAACACTAAAATACTACAAATCCCTTAAATAAAATATATACTGTAAATAAATGAAGCGCTGCGAAGCTGTATTGTACTAAATTTCCCTTTTTATTATAGCTCTGTTTAACACTAAAATACTACAAATCCCTTAAATAAAATATATACTGTAAATAAATGAAGCGCTGCGAAGCTGTATTGTACTAAATTTCCCTTTTTATTATAGCTCTGTTTAACACTAAAATACTACAAATCCCTTAAATAAAATATATACTGTAAATAAATGAAGCGCTGCGCTGCGAAGCTGTATTGTACTAAATTTCCCTTTTTATTATAGCTCTGTTTAACACTAAAATACTACAAATCCCTTAAATAAAATATATACTGTAAATAAATGAAGCGCTGCGAAGCTGTATTGTACTAAATTTCCCTTTTTATTATAGCTCTGTTTAACACTAAAATACTACAAATCCCTTAAATAAAATATATACTGTAAATAAATGAAGCGCTGCGAAGCTGTATTGTACTAAATTTCCCTTTTTATTATAGCTCTGTTTAACACTAAAATACTACAAATCCCTTAAATAAAATATATACTGTAAATAAATGAAGCGCTGCGAAGCTGTATTGTACTAAATTTCCCTTTTTATTATAGCTCTGTTTAACACTAAAATACTACAAATCCCTTAAATAAATATATACTGTAAATAATGAAGCGCTGCGAAGCTGTATTGTACTAAATTTCCCTTTTTATTATAGCTCTGTTTAACACTAAAATACTACAAATCCCTTAAATAAAATATATACTGTAAATAAATGAAGCGCTGCGAAGCTGTATTGTACTAAATTTCTGCTGTTCAGATCAAAAGCAATTTTTCAATGTGCTTTAATAACTTTGTTAGTTTTAATCAGTCCTTTTGCAATGTTAGCCGATAACCCCCCCTTTTTTTTTCAATCTTTGAAACCTTCGTATTGGGCATACGGTATGCCATAACTAAGAACCAGGTATGCATGTATGCTATCTTCACTCTTTTCAACAATGTCTTTTTTCCCCAGCTTTATGATGATTCTATTTTATTCATTCTTTGGCTCTTCTCATGAACTTTCCTAAAACTTGTTTTTAATAAATTTACAAAACATTTAAGCGAAAAAACCCAATATCTCTTGAAAATTCAGATTCATAGCCAGGGCTGTTTACTGAATAGTAACAATAAGCATACTGACGCGCTCGTGGGAAGTCTAGAATTGCCTCGAAAGAGGTGAACCAATGCACGCAGTCGTGATCCATGTTTTTCGCTGACTGCTCGGTACAAAAGTATATGGGAGCAAAAATGTTCAAAACGTACGTATAAGTGTTTTGACGTTTAATGTCAAAAGCCGATTTCAAAAATTTTTTCACCATCTAAATTTTACTTTTGTTGTGGGAAATTTGGATTTTTAGATCCAGATCTTTTATAAAATGAAATAAAAAATGGGAAACAAGGTGCGCAGAATACAAAAGCGGCTGCGCAACTTTCAAAAAATTAGGAACTTTGGTCGTGACTCATTGAACTCGAGTCGTATTTCAAACAAATGTCGTATACGAAATAAAGAACTTGAGTCGAAACAGGACGTATACCATAATGAACGTATTTCAAACCGAAAGTATACTGAGATGCCACTGTATAAATTCTATGCTCTTCCTAACATACTACACAGCCATTGATGTACTATCTCTTTTGTTTCATGTCTTGCAATTAATCTCTTAGTCTTCAAAGATTTTCTTAAGATGTATACTTAACAAACCTTCTGAAGGATTATATTTAAAACTCTAACACTATTTTTTCAATTTTCGATGAATAGCTGTGGATTTCTCATTTCCAGTATCATAAAATCCGTTAACTACTTCTTGTTTCGTTTCATTTTATGTCTGAAAGCGAGCTTGCTGCTCCTTACCGTCATAACTTCCAGCAGTGCGCTGAGCATGCACGAAAGGATTTCTCAGAGTAGAGTTCCTAATAAATCTACAGAATAATCAACTACTTTTGGCTTTTAATTTTGATAGCCATATAGAGGTTCTACATAATATCTGATAAAAGTGGCTAAATGGCTAATGTTCAGAACATTATATATATTTCTCGAGTTCGTTTCTTTCTCATAAAGAAATTGGCTGCAAGAACGTTTGAAAAATTTTCTAAAGTACATTTCAAACATTAATTACTTTCCTTTGAAGCGTTTCCTACAAGTTTACCTTTTCATAAAGTCAGGTCTTTTGAGTGCTTTATCATAACTAAAAGTCTTTTATTAATAACTGAATGATCATTTTTCAGATTGCCCAACTCTGCAGAAAGTTATTGTTATAGTTACGAAAGAAGAAAGTCTGGCCGGTGGTATTTCAGGCATCAAGAATGGGTAAGCCTCAACATTGTGCATACCTTTTACTTACCTTAAATCGGGCATTCCTGAAGTGATTGACATCAAGTTTATGAATTTTCAAAGAACTAGAATTATTTTGAATGTCTCCTCAAAATTACTGATTAGATTAAAAGAGAATTTAAACATGCCAAAGTAAAACATACAGTTAGGCAACCTTGTGTTTGCGTAGTTTTATCGATTTCGAGGGAGAACCGGTACAGGCCCTCTTCATCAAGAGCAAAAGAATTCTACCTAAATTTCTGCTCTACTTTAGAAATCAAGAGCAAAAGAATTCTACCTAAATTTCTGCCCTACTTAGTAGAAATTCCTTTGTTGCAGATGAAGAGGGACTTTCTTTGCTGCTCATGAAGAGGGTTTGTGATTTAACTACGAAATTCAGAATAAGGACATTTCTTCACTTGTCAGTTGACATCACATAATCCTGTACATAATACTGAGAAATACCAATTTCGTTGTATTATCTGTCATTTATTTTTGACAGTGGCACCTAAATCCCAAAATAATCTCAATTTTTGTTTATCGCATCAATTTTTTAAGCTACAGGATAACCTATCTCTGTCTCAAAAGTTACATAAAATGAAAATAAAGGGAACGCTTGCTAAACATACTGTTCACAGAGAATATTTTATTCATACAAAGGCTATATGTAGCTATCGCAAGTTAAAATTTGTTCATACAAAAGGTAAAGTTTTTTTTTTCTTTTTTTTTACCAAACGGTAAACATACATATAAAGGTAAACATTTTGCTCATGGCCTTTTCTGAAGTACCTAATCTGTAGACATTCTCGCTTGATGCTCCAATAGTAGTCAGCCATCATATGTACGTCCCATCTACCTTTGTACCGTTCCTCCACGACCTTCAAATTTTGGTGGAATTGCTCAACCTGCTCATCATTGATTGCACCAAGAATTTTCGGAAATTTGGCTCTGTAAAAAATGCAGTTTGATGCTCATGTTGCAACCAAGTATTTTGAAGCTCTCTAGAAGTTGCTGGAAAATTTCGTTGGAATTCTGTGCTCGTATTTTTCCAAGAAAGTACTGGCAATGTTTTTGAATGCAAACTAAGAAACTTCAGTTTCAAAGTCTTCGTCATTGTTGTCAATTTGATATTCACCAGAATTGTATTCCTGTATTTCCAAAGAGGGTAATTCTTTGCAAACTGGCTTTGGGAGTTCAGCCGAGTGCGGCACTGGGCTTATAGCTGATAGTAAACTAGGATACTCTTTTTTACATATCGTTTTGTTTGTTTTTCTTGTCATATCTTGAAAATTTTAAGACACAAAAGTAACAATCATTTGAGTGAATTTTGGGCTCTCGCCAGATCATAAGTACACGCAACGGAAATTTAGAACGTCTGCGCTTCATCCACGTCCGTAAACGCTCGACATACTGCCTTGCACAATTTGTGAGATGCCTATAATTTATCTTGATCACCAATTTTCACTTTAAAATAGGCCTGCCTGACACGTATACTGATGTTTGCCTTTGATGTGGAATGGTAAAACTGCCATCTATATTATAAAATGAATCGGGGCTGTTTACCCACTTACTAGGCGAACTAGCAGAGGCAGACATAAGGAAAGGTATCACAATCAAGGACACAAGGAAAGGTAACTAAACACTGCCAACCTTATATACAAACAAGAGCTCGGGGGGCCATGTTGGATTGTGCTTTATCAGAGCGACACACGAAGTGTTACTACAGTATCTCAAGCGTAACTCAACTAGTCTAGGATAAGTATAACTATCACTGGTCTCCTATGGCATGATTCCCACGGCATCAATCGGTGGGTTTATGGCAGCCTATAGTAGAGCAGTAGTACTTCCTTTGATCCATGCTTGATGCTATGGAGTGTGGTCACTAAGTTGTAGAGAAAAAAGAACCTGAGAAAACTAAATATAGTTGTGAAATCCGCATGCCTATTTAACCCTAAAACAACTAAATAATTGAACTCAACAAAATTGTTTCTCAGTGTAATTAGTGTATAACTAGTGATTGTAAAATATAAAATACTGAATTTATCATAAAGTTTATGATTGGGTTTAGGGCATACATGTGATACTGAATTTATCATAATGTTTATGATTGGGTTTAGGGCATACGTGTGAAATGTCTGATGATAACTCTTAGAAGTTGTATACTAGTAGTAAAGAGATGATCTCAGATGCCAGGCTTAGCGTATATGTTACTTTTTCACTAAGTTGTACCTTAAAAAAAGGAAGCTATGTTAAGTTAATTTTTGATAGTTACGAGATGTGCAAAGATAGAAACAGAAGTGATTTATCTTATTAGTTTTGCGAGAAACGCAAAACTCTGGCTATTACGGTTGGTGCAAACAGCATACTTGTAACTGGATAACATCACTTTTATAACTAAAGAGAACATAATCATACACCTGGTAGCAGTAGATAATATTAGACAAAAGACTCACCAAGCTATCAACACACTACAGCAAATTATTCCAGAGGGAACCAATGCTGTCTCAGAGTAAAGTGATACTGCAATACTTAGTCTCCGTGCTTTGTGTCAAATGATAAGAAGTGTGGTGTGGTGTATTTAATTATGGCAAAGCACACTAGGGCTATCTGCGTAAGGGGAGGGATGCCTTCGTGGAGGACTTTCTAAGGGAAACTGGCTCATATACACGTTACACATGGGGAAAACCACGAAAACGCCCATGCAGCCAGCCCGTTCGCGGGATTCGAACCTCGGACCGAACTACCAGTGTTCAGCGACTTTACCGCTCGGCCGCTGGTGGGCCAAATGATAAGAAAATCTCATAAGAAGTTGTGTATCCGAAGCCAACTACTTTGGAAAATGCTTATATGGAATTAGGGCTATTGATATATAAATAAAAAATTAAACAGTAATAAATAAAAAAAATATAAATGTTTCATCCCTTGACAATAAACGCATATTCTCGTCCACTACCAAAGACGTTGCACTGTTGAAAGAAGTCCATTATTCGATCTTGGATGGAACATTTAAAAACATTTCAAAACCCTTTTTCAACTATGTGTAATCCACTCTTATATCAGAACTGGAGGGAATGCAAAAGTGCTTTCTCTTGTTAATGCTTTAACGACCAGCAAATCAGCGGAGAGCAATACTAATTTATTTCAGTATTTTAATGAACTTGGTGTTGAACATGACTGCGAATTAAATACTCATTTAGTGATTTTGAAACTTAAAATATAAGAAGAAACTAAATTAAATTAGAACTAAACTCAGATACTTTACGCGATACTAGTAACGCGAAGATTGGCCTTTTAAACTCTACGTATGTATCGAGAAAAATGCGTGAAACTACAATACGTCTACAAGTAAACAAAGAGAACTAAGTTCTGCTTTTTAAAGGCAGACAGAAACTGGCTGAAAAGTGCGCGCGTGGTAAGGCAACGAGAAGACTCTCTCTTGGAACTTTGGAACTTTGCGGTTATACTGGCTTTCAGCAGGAAATTAAAGTCCTGCTCTTGCCAGTTCCTGATGTGATCCAATGTGGGGCCTGACAGAGTAGAAACCTGAAAGAAATTTTCTCTCGTGGAGGTAGAAGTGTGCTGGAGAGAGAAAAAGAGAAAAAGAAGCACTTTGCTCCTGTACTGCTACATCTCGGATGGAATCCGCCAAGCAGGGGCCGGAGAAAGAAACTTCGGATGACCTGTGTAGGATAGCCCGAATACTAACTGTTCATTCGCCGGAGCCAGTCACGTGGGAGGTCACCCTCCCAAAAACTGACCCCGATTGATGCTGCTTGAAAACCAGAAAACTGGAACTTAGAATTCTGAACTCAAGAGGTGGGCGGCAAATGGGCGGAGGTTTTTGTCTTCAGCCAGGACTTCGTAGATAAGAATGTCCGTGAAATTAGCGGGATTCACACTGATAATATTATTAAAAAGTTGTTTATTCTGCTGAGGTAGTCCTGAATAGTATCTATTTTCAAGTCGGAGTGGAGAGTCCTATTCCGAACATAGTAAGGAGCTTTTGTGATGATTCTTAGCACCTTATTTTGAAGCACTTGGAGTTTGCTAATTTCGTTTGCTTTGTAGTTTGCCCAGGCTGGGGAGGCATACGTGAGAATGGGTCGGATGACAGTTTCATAAATCCTCTTTTTCAGTCTGAGGGTGAGGTTTTCATTCTTTAAGGAGAGGAAAAAGCCTGAAAATGATCCCGTGTGCTTTTCCGCTTACTCTAAGCATATGATCCTTCCAATTGTAGTTCTTGTTAAGGGTAACTCCCAGGTAATTAGCTTTATCAACTGTAGGGATGATTTTGCCAAAAGGTTTAACCTCAGTTCTGACCCGTTTCCTCTGCCTGCGATTTCGAATGAGTAGAATCTTGGACTTTTCTGGCTGAATGCACGTTTTCCAGCGACTGCACCACCCCTCAATAGCAGGGATTTTCGCCTGAATTCTTGACAAGGCATACTCTGGGTTTAGAGACTTGGTGGCTATCGCTGTATCATCAACGTATCTGGCTGCGAGAACATTTGTATCCCCGGAAAAGCAAGGGAAATCGTTGGTATAGATGATGTAAAAAAGCGGGCCTAAAATTGACCCTTGAGGAATACCTGCGTAAATATTTTTGACACATGAAGTTGCATTTCCAACTCCAACGGTGCAAGTTCTATTTTCAAGGAAGGACTTGATAATGAGTATCAGATTTCTGGGGAAACCGAGATGAATTAGCTTATAGATTAGCCCTGGATGCCAGACGCGGTCAAAAGCGACTCTCTCTTGGCTAAAAACCATGTCTTAAATACTTAACAGTTTGCAAGCTCAATTTGCATAACCAAATCTGTTCGCTTTTATTCTGGCCTAAAAAGGAAAATAAGAGAGGATAGCAAAGTTTTAAAATAAAATAAACGTTAGTAAAATTTTAAATTCTTACACAACTTTCTTTAGAATTCCGCGGTAGCGATTGGCCACCGTTGCCAAAATTTCCGCCATCAGTTGACGAGATAATACGTAGATACCCATTATGAAATTAATGTATTATGTAGGTACCCTGAAATGATTTTGAAATTGAGTTTAAAGCAAAAGTAGTATTAAAAGTAGAATTTTAGCTCAGCATCGATCTTGAATTGCTCATATGCCCAAATACTTAAAAAAAAAAAAAAAAAAACTGTTTGCGTTAGCCATTTATGCCACAGGCGTTCTTTGATAGAACACTAGAAATATTTTAGGCAGGTATTTCTAGCATTTTTGTCGAAGTGATGAAACACGTAACTTCTTAAAAGGAACATTTTTGAATTTTATCTGTGAAAAATTAAATACACGTCATTTCAATGCATTTGGAGCATCAATTTTATTTATAACTTTCAGTTGCTGTTTAGAAGAGTTTCTTAGGAGCGGTCGCAATCCTGATGGCAGTGTACCTGACATAGTGTTTGAACAACTTTCCTTTAACCATCCTATCTGCGTCAGCTTCACATCAGGTACCACAGGCTTACCGAAAGGCCCCGTGCATTCAGGTGGGGTAAGTGTATATTTATGTCGATATTTAAAGAGTTTCCGATCATAGTACGATCGACAGAACGAATCCCAAGGTGGGTTGCTTGTGCAAAACGCGGTTCCATGTAATCTAATTATTCAACTAAAAAATCCTCGTTCAACAGCGAACAATCATTTATTACGTCCGAAAATTCTGTTACCTCAACCAGTCAAAGAAAATCCAAGGATTTTTCGAAGATATCAGACATTGCTCGAAATTTCATATAAATTTCATTTAAAATATGTTTTCTTGATTTATCTGATGATGCAGACAGCAAAATTTTAAGATTTTTACCTTCTTCGTTTAATGAATACATGTGCGAAAAACCGTTTCAACATTAAATTAAAAATAATCTAAATTGAATTTTGATAAACTCGCTTCACCACATTGTATTGTAAGTGTGGTGCAAATTGACACGAGCATTGTCAACAAACAGTGTGCGAGTGCAAAATTTGAAATCGATAGCTTATGAAGAAGTACTTTAGAAGATGTCAAGCTTTTGACCATATTAACGAAGACTAAGGAATGAACTAAATAAACCTTATAAAAATGTGTCAAATGAATATTTCAACTACATTACAGTCAGAATGTAAGTCTCTATGACTGTTTTTTCTTATCCTATAGATGAAGGAAAAACGATCAGCTAAACTTTCATTCCGAGTAGAGAAATACTGAACATGACTGAAATTCTGATGTGGTAAAATCATTACTAAAACTTTTTATGCCATTTATGCTAGTATGTATTGATTCATCGCAAATACGCGGTATCGTCTCAACTGAATTATTGTTATTATTATTATTATTGACACACTTATTTTCAAAAGTTACTATATATATTACTTATTACCATATTGATCTCTTATTTTTTGTGTTGTACATATTTTGCTTTATTCTCTTTTACTATTTGATATTTTATGAACTGAGTTTCAAAAAGAGAAAATTCTTAAATTAATTAAAAGCAGGAATTAGAATTCGTCTTTGAACTTTTGAATTTTTAAAAATGAAGTTTATACACTACTTACAGTTTGGAATATAATACAGGCAACTTCTAATCAACCGTGGTTAATTGTGCTTTAGAATTACCACGCGCTGCCTAAAAAATTGTTAAGCTTGTTTATTGCAAAATAGTGGGCAAATTACAATCACAATTCATCAGGGTGACAACTGCCCTTGAAAAATACAAAAAGGAAACTATCTATGAAAAATATGAAAGGAAACGGAAGGGTAAATTCAAGGGAACAAATCACTAAACAGCAATTTGGTAACAGACTACTTGGTAGTGGTCTTTTGAAACAAAACATATTAATCATATGTGCTTGATCTTCTGTACAGATTCCATTTAAAGAATTTTGTTAAAAATAAAGTATCTCAAATAAAAAATGAAAACTTTTACCTGAATTTTACTACACAAAATGCGTTATTCTTCGTGTGTGATCTTCAATTCAAAAAATAAATTTCACCTTAATTCAGAAAGATTTAACTTTCGTGCCTTAACTAAAAGAGTGATTTTATTGTCAGACAGGCGATGTTCAATTGCATACAATCAATAATATTTAAATATTATGTAATAAGAAACGAATGATTCTGACTGACTGTTTGATGCGAATTTGAACTTGGTGATTTTTCCTCTTATAAATATACTTTTTCAATGACATTTTTAATTCAGCTTCTGTATTCCTAACCATGTTTATTTCTTCCGTTATTGGTAAGTTCATTTCGTTTTGAATACTGATTCAATTTACGTAACCGAATGAACAAAGATATAAATTAACTGTTCAAAAATACAGGTACGTAGTTAACAGTGTTGTTTTGGTAATTATAACATGAGTTTTTCATCTGTTTTTTAAATTTTTTTTTAACTTCTCTCGTATTAACTTTGCTTTTGAGTTAACGGTTAGTATTACCACGGTTATTCGGGAGTTGGCCGCATTTGTATAATGATTTTATCGATTTAAAATGTAGTTCAATAACTTTTCATAATGTTAAGTTAGTCGTATTCATTATTTTCCAATAAACGTATTATGATGAAAATTATAAATTCCAGCTTGCCTTTGTTAATATCAGTCTTCTTTTTCCAGACATTTTTAACCTTTCTGGCAACCTGCGCCTTTCATCATAATCTATCCAATGGAGACGTCTTCTTGAACCAATGTCCGGTAATTTCACTTCTCAGTAATTTTAAGTAGTATAGATAAAAATTAATTTTTATGATTTAAGCAATTTTTATTGTTCACTTAGAGGGATACCCTCTAAGGATAACTTTTATCTCTACCTTATCCCTCTAAGGTTTATAATTGGCATAAAAACTTACGAGTGCTTTACGATATTAAGTTTACAAATCTTGTGACACGGAAGGTTAATGGTAAAACCAAAAATTCTTCTCCCAAGTTATTGAGAAAATGAAGTTTGGATTTGTTCAGTGTAAAAAAAATTGGTTGCTTTTTTATATAGCATAAGCCAAGTTATACAGAAACAGAGATTTTTGCTAAAATATATACATTCCAGAGGCAACCTAAAATAACTGGAATGATTTAAGCAATTATATCATACTTTACATTTACACATTTTTGTCCTATTCAAAGTATTGTTGTAACCAACATAGATGTAAAATATTGGGAAATGTACATTGATGTTGGTTGACAATACTTTTTCCCAATGCTTTGCAGTAGGCAAAACATTGGGAATAACTAATTCAAATCCCCATATAAACATTTCTGGAATTATTGATATGGAATACTGTTAATGGGTACTCAATGTATTTTCTTGTAATTCATTCGCATCACTGGATTGCTTTCTTATTCATTGAACTGCTTTTTGAGAGCTATCGCTATCCCTGGAAATAGAAAGCAAGTCTCGCTGAGCAAGAAGATATGATGGGTATCGTCAGTGAGATGCAAGCATCATGCTGCTCTCTTCAAGAACTGCCGGATGGAGACTTCATCAGAAATCTAGTTAATGAACTTTATTAACTTGTTAATGAACTTGTTGACTTTATTAAGAGATATAGGCAGAAGTCTACGGAACACCAGAATTTCACCATTGAGATATAATCCCACCGTACTAAACTTCCACTGCACTCCAAGTTTGAAAGAGAGTGCTCCAGCGAAAGAATCAGAATATCTCCTACGCTTCGTTTCCTGCCAGCAAACCACTCGAAAGGATTTTCGATTCGCCAGTATTTTAAGTGTCCCAAAGCCGCACAGACACTATGCAATTACAAACATCTGTACTTCTCGGGGCATTCGATTGTGGGCCCAGTGATTTGGCGGCCGGCATCGCTAACCACTATACCAATCAGGCCTGCTAATCTTCCTTAATAACAAGCGTGGAAGAATTTTTAATGTTTTCTTCAGTTTTGCTCCTCAATCGATTCAAAGTCATGGCAGCCTTCATCTGGCATGGCGTTAATTTTTAATATAAAACAGCATTCGTACACTCAAACCTTTGCCCAAGTATAATGACAGTCTCAGCTACAGGTTTCCTCAACAAAAACAACAACAACAACAACAACAACAACAAAACAAAAAAAAAAAAAAAAAAAAGCATATGATGAAGCTTCGTCATTTAACACAAAATTCGATCTCGATTCTGCGAAACTTATCAACGAAACTTCTTCAGTTGATAAAGTGGACGCATTTCGCATTCATAAAAGTTTACTTTTAATTAATGGCATTAATTTCAGTTGAAGTATTCTGGACGCTTTTCAACATTTTAGCTCTTTTATTGTTTTTTTGCCATTTTACTGAACAAATGGCGCTGTGTTCTTTTTCTTCTGGTTCACCCACCAGTTTTGTTATAAATATAACTGTTGCTTCTCGTACTCTGTACACTTAATTTTGTAATTACCGTCAGCGCCTTAGGGCTAACATTCGAAGAATAGGTGAAAATTTTAATTCACTAATGCCTAATTATTACGCAACTCAGGGATTCAATTCATGAATTCGAGGTCCATATATTTGAATTAAAAACAGAGTTTCCGGTTCGACACCGAGAAGGTGGCAATGTTGGAGAATGATATAAAAATTTCCCGCACAGCAAACCTTTGGCTTTACAATAATTAGTGTACAATTAATATAGTTAATAGACATACTAAGTACTAACTTAAAAGGAGGTTGTGTACTAAAGTGTACTATATGTACTAGTATATATGTGATTGATGACTTGTTTTGCCGGGCACTTGCCAGCTGCGATTTCGGTACGAGACAGCTAAACACAAAAGACATTTCAAAGACGTTGTGTAAGAGATAGAGGGTCACCGAGTGGTGAAATCGCTGAACACTAGTAGTCCGGTTCGAGGTTCGAATCCCACGAACGGGCTGGTTGCATGGACATTTTCGTGGTTTTTCTCACGTGTAAAGTGTATACGAGCCAGTTTCCCTTAGAAAGTCCTCCACGAAGGCATCCGTTCCGTTAGGCAGATAGCCCTCGAGACTTTGCCGTAATCACATAAATCAAAATCATACCTAAGAGATAGAACCGAGATGCTTTAAGGGATAATGCTTTTACAAAAGGAGTGTAGGACAGATCCCCCCGCACATTCATATGTTAACGTTACCAGGGATTGTATCCTAAACTTCTCTGTGCATGTGCTGCCTGACTAACCAGTATACTGATATGACGCAAGATGCATATGGCGAAAATAATCTTGACTTCTCTGTTTTTAAATCAAAATGAAGACGATGTTTTTTTGTTAATATATTTATTCGAAATTCGTTTGGAAGTTCATTCTCATAAACAATAAGATCCACAGGAAGTGAAAGAAACAATTCCGAAAGAAAGCTAAGTTTTTATTTTCAGGTAAACCCTAAAGTTTTAACGTTTGCAAATTTAAGAACTCGCTAGTGACCGAATGAATAAAACCGCTGAATACTTGTAATTTAATCGAAGTTCAAATTCTAGTGAATCTATGAGTTGCATGAGCAATTTCGTGGTTTTTCCCATGTACAATGTGAGTAGAGGTAGTTTCCCTTAAAAAAAAAAAAAAAAAAAAAAAAAAAAAAAAAAAAAAAAAAAGCATTTCTTCCCTTAGCCAGGTAATCCAAGTATTCTTAGCCATAAATCTAATTCACAAATTTGCAGTACTACAAAGTCGGTATCCCAAAAACCTTTTAACATGTTTTCAGGCAAAATATGATGATCATATGCTACAAGTGTTTGATTTATTTATTTCTATGCTTCTTTCGTTATATTAGAGCATTTTTTATATTTTAGGCGGGTTGGACTCTTTGGGATTGCTTCATTCCATCTTTAGCGTTAGGCACCACTATATTTCTATACTGCGGCAGTGCTTATTTTGTACTGAATGGAATGAACATATGGGACATAATCGCCAAATATAAAGTCACATGCACTACCCTTGTAACTAACATGGTAGAAAAACTGGAGAAATTAGATACTGTGCCAAGTAAGTCAATGAAATTTATTCGGTAGCTTAGTTTCATTTGATTACTGATATTGGAGTTGATGATTATAGGATATAATTAATGATTATTAAGACTAATGAGAGTAGTAAACTGCTTAGCTATTTACTGTTCTCTATTAGTATACTTTTGCAAAATTAATAAAGAAATTGCTTGGATGCAACATTTAATTTGTCAAAAGACCTTTCGAAGCTGAAAACTGTAAATTTCTCTATTAGCACTATGCAGTTAATGATTCAACATTAATTCTTACATAACGGATCTCCTATCATGTTACATAGAAACATATTCGAAAAGTTGTTAGCTCAACAATTTTATAGTATGTAGGCTATGTATTATTTGCATCGCGTTTCACTGAAAAATGTAAATGACTAAATTAAGTCGTAACGTTTCTGCTTTAAAATTCTTTAACCTTAACATGGTAACCATTATTTGATTTCTATAAATAGCCAGGTGCTCGAAGCTTTGCAGCATGTTGGGCATGTGCTAAAAACAAGCTCTGAGATGCTAAACAAGTTCTAAGAACAAGTTAATTACAGTTGTTCACCCTCTTCTGAGCTGTTCAGTGGTCCATAATAGAGGATAACAAGTTGACAACTGAAATCTCAAGGAATTTCATGTTCAATGGAAACCTTGAACGAATTGGCCAGTTCGAACACTTATATCGTTGGACTTCAAATATTACTGAACCAAACTATATCATACTTTATCGAAATCCAGAACCGTGTGTAATCTATACTATAGCATGTTGCAAAGGAGCTGGCTGCTTGCAATCACAAGAGCTTTCCGTACTGTTTCTACAGAAGTTATTTGCTTACTTGCTGGCATTCCGCCACTCTCAATTTTTTATAACTTTTATTATGAAAAATGTTTATTCAGCTATGGTTTTAAAAAGATTTTAACATGTGAAAATTGTGATGTTTTGAATGGTAACGCCTTGACAGGAAAAGATTTTATTAATATACATCCAAAAGATTTCAAGGCTATACCGTACGATAAAGATTATATGAATACTGGCATGATTGATATATACACTGATGGCTCCGGATATGAAGATGGAACTAGTTGAGCTTTTGTTATTTTTTATTACGGAGTTGAAATCTATAACAGAAAAATACGATCAGAAGGAAATAAAACCAGTGTATCAAGCTGAAGCGGTTGCAATTAGAGAGGCATTGCGGTGGAGTTATAAAAACTTAAAACAGTACTTTACAATACATATTTATTCTGATGCTCTCTCGGCCCTACAAGGCTTGGAAAATCCGGAACCAAGCAATAGACTTCTTTTGGATATAAAAAAATATTTATAACAAAATAAGAGAGAAAAATGGTATATATTTTCATTGAGTCAAGGCTCATATTGGTGTTACTGGGAATGAGAGGGCGGATATGCTAGCTAAAGAGGCAGCCCTGGGAGAGGGTGATATTTATGACGCTTTTAATGATTCCAGAAGAATTACCTTGAGAAAAATGAAAGCAAGTATAATTGAGAAATGGGCTCGGGAATGGAATGGTTCAAATCAAAATAAGGGTTACTTGAGGATTTTGACCATAAAAAGAAAAATGGATCTATTTAATAATATAGATACTATTCAAGTTATCATGGATCATGGTAGATTCCCGGCCTATTTAAAACGTTTTAATCTCCAGGGCAATAATCAATGCTTGGCTTGTGGGAAGTACGGAAATGCAGCTCATTTTATGGAAGAATGTAAACTGACCGAGAGTGTGAGGACGAGATTTGGAAAAATAAATGAACAGAATGTAATTGAAAAAAGAAAATTCTTGAATAGCTATGCAACAGAAATTATGAGGATTGTGAATGAAAACAAGACTATCATAGGAATAGGACATTAAATATTTTAATCTTTTAATTTTTTTTTTTTTGTTTGTCTGCGTCGGGTGTGCTGCGCTAACCATGAGGCCGATTATTGTCGGCCAGAGGGGTTACAGCATACTCGTAAACTAAACTATATCATGCTGAATGACGCAGGATAACACCTTATAAGCTTCAGCTGTTATTACGGTGTAGATATCGAACGCAAACAAGAAGTGCTTATTACAGGTTTCTGTTTCTATTGAGCAAAGTTTCATTGCCATTATCCATCTATTTCAGATGAGTAACGTCATGCGTACGTAATATTGATTTTCTTAATGTAAGCGCATGATTGAATTTTGTAAAATGATTTTATATTTATAAGTTTTGACATTAAAAATTCGAAAATTTCTTATGAATCTCTTGCCACTTGTAAATTATAAACTCACCTTCTTGTATATATTCATTCCAATTTCAAAAAATGACTAAACATTACTTGTGCTACATTGACCTACCACAGATATTTAGTCTCACAAATTTAATTTTCCTTTACAGGTCCAAGTTCAAATTTTGAAAATTTTAAAACTTTACTTATATGTGGCAGTCCTGTCCTAACTCGTAATTTCCAGTACATTCATAACAAGATTACGAAAGATGTGTTCGTTGGCAGTCAGTATGGTAAGTTGGAATCAGTAATGAATAACATATTTTTGTTCATTATTTCATTCAACTCAAAGAAAGACAAAAAAAAACTGTTTAATAATTGAAATCTGAATCTTACTCTATTATGATAGATATACGAATTCAACATTTGATTTGAAAATTTATCTAAACTGGAACATAAAAAGTGAAAGTGAGTTATTATACAAGGTGGTCATAAAATCTTTTCCTGACTACAAAAATTTATTACGAGAAAACTGCTGCAATGAGACTTGAATAAGTTTCTGGAAATGGTAACTCACTAATTGAAATTTTTATGAATATTACTACGTTAGTACATTTCAGGGTGTATTTCTCAAGGCGTACTTTTTTTTAACGTGAAGAATGTCAAGTCGATATTCTGGTTTCTGCCACGTGTTCTTTAACATTTGCTGTTTAACACTCGAAGCAGCATTTTTTGTTTGGTCCTATCAATATCACGAACTGCTGTGGCAAAGAGTAGAGCCGTACTATTTGTTTGACGCGCGAGCGCCATCAGTGATCCCAGTCCTCACAGCAAAGTTTCTATACAGTGAGTTTTGCTCTTTCTGATCAGAAATCTTTGAGCGTGTGACATCACTGACGTATAGCCTGCTTCAAGGTCAGTAGACAAACTAGGTTGGGCTGTTGCCAACGCTGGTTTCACTTACTTACAGAACTGGAAGAAAGAAATCAGAAACGGAGTAGCGTTTGAACAGACTTTAAGAGTCAAAGAAGTAACAGAAGATCAAATCGCGTAATGAAACTTTGGTGTTCTCCTAATACTTGTTCGAGGAATTGAATGCAATTTTGTCTTCGTTTCTTCCACTTCTACAAATCAAGCGATTCGAATGTTGGGAACAGCATAACTTTGTCAAGTGACTGGAACGTTGGGAAGAGCATATGTCTAGTGAGCTTGATTCACAGGAGGCTTGCTACTTCTTGAAAGTTCACCAATGCTATTAGCTTCGTACCAGTTTCTGATGCTCTTAACATCTGAATGATTGCTTTCATACAAAAATTAAAGCCAACATCGATGGCAATTTAGTTTCATGATGGCACTAAAAAGCACATTTTGTTTTTTCTTTTGTCGATATCATTTAGATACTCAGCACTCTTTGACGCCATCAACTGCATCAACAATATCAAATTCTGTTTAACCTTATAAAGTGAATATGGGCTTATTAAAAAAGCATCGACTTGAATTGGAACTGGATTGCAATTGAAATCAAATTGGAATTTTCTGTGTGATAGAGGTCGCATAATGCAAATACTATACCTCCAATAGAAAGGAATTCAGTTATTTAACAATAAGCCTACAAAATAATAGGTATTGAGTTGAGAATTCAAAACATTTCTTGGCTCTGGATCTAAAGAGGAAAAACACATTTTCTAGAAGGGTTTGCGAACTATCACTGATCTTCATGATACTGAAACTTTATTTGATATCCTGAGGATGAAACTGTGAGTAATACAGCCTTTTCATATTTTTATTACAGAAGTTACTTAAACAATGCGAAATAAAGCGATGATAGATCATGTCGTTTCAAGTGTTTTTTAAATGGTTTAAAAGACTGTTTATTTATATTTAATTAAATAAACGCATATTGTTAATTTAATCCTAATTACTACGAAAATTCTTTCTATATTTTAGGAATCACAGAATCTTTCCATTGCTTCTCCGGATACGACTTCAACTCACCAGCTTACGCAGGAGAAATCCAGGCTTTGGGCCTTGGGTTGGACATTCGCGTTGTAAACCAGAATGGTAAGTACCGAAACAGATACAAAGTTTAGCTATAAAACATAGCCTGCTTTCGGCGATATTACGACAAGATGAACTGCGCAAGTGAATCGTGTTTATTCATTAAGTTACAACAGATATTGATCGTGATCTCTATTCACGTCTATGAAGATTTCATCACGTTCGGAGCATGTTGCCTGATATTGCTTGCTGTTCATGAATAAGGAATGTTCGTGATGTGTTCTGTGGATGATGTTCATGATACTTTCTTTGGGTTTATTCAGGGGCTGTGGATTATTGGCTTATACTTTCTCTTTTAAATTTTCCTTCAGATCAAAATCATCGTATATGCACAAGTTTGGAATGTCTGACGGGCGTAACTCCTTGCCCACAGATCGCTCTGTTTTCAAACAGGTCATGAACACGTGTCTGTGTATCACATGAAGTGTGGTAAGTTGCCAAACTTGTTGGAAAAGCAGTAAATCGTGTCTTCTGATGCTACTCGTAGTTAGTTTTAAGATTGTTCAAACGTGCCCAGGTAAAGCTCAGTATTCACATTTAATTAAAAAAAATTGACCCCGAATTTGTGTTCCTGGCATCCCGTATTAAGTGCCAATTTGGTTTTCTCGTGAAGAGACTTTTTGTGAGTTATTTCGGAAAGTGGCTTTTTATAAGTCAGTTAAAATTTTCAGCTGGTCTCTATTTCTTATTTTGGGAATTTATGTGGCCTGATAAATGCAGTCAACTGCAGCAACGCAACGCATGCGCAACGGATCTAAATATCCATCAGTAATCACACTATTCACTGCTCCGGGGAAAACTCATGGGATTTTCTGATGCAATGTGTACGGAAGAATGGAATAGAAAGCCAAGGTAATGCCTGAACACTGCGTTATTTCGGACAACAAATTGCCCGAGAGAAGAACGAACCTATGGCATTTTTGAGCATACCACCTGTTTTATATGCTCCACCCTGTATCCATTTAATTAAAGAAATATTGCGCGAGTGACAATACAAAAATTACATTACATTTATACTGACATAAGGTTTTTTTTTTCTTAGCGAGATACGTAACAAATCGATTAGGTCCCCGCCGAGATTCAAACAACGGAAATCTAATTCTCTTTTTCTAATTTCCACCTGAATGTGCTAACACTCATATCAGGACGTGGGAGCGAAGTAGTTTCTTATATTTTTCTCAAGCATTTAAAGGATTGCTTGGGAGAGGCTCGAGACCCAGTTGACTAAATCCCGAAGGGGACGAATTATCATGTTAGTTCCCACAACAAGATAGTTTCGCCTTTCTAGAGCAGAACTACTATAAAATTGAACAGTTTCTTGTCTCATAATATTATATTACTTGATTTATATATCTTATGGTTTTAGGCAATATAAGTCTTCTTATTACAATTTTGATGATATATATGTTGCATCTTTTTCGTATATGGGCTAGTTATAACTACTGTTTGCATTCTATGTAGCACTGAGAGGCTGGGCAGCCTGCTGGCAAACGGACCTTGGCCTGCTGGCACTAGCACATTTAATATGCACCTGATCTGTAACAAGCTTCAAATTTACGAGAAGACTTTAACGAAATGGAACGCACTAATCGACATGAAAGAGGAGGATTGCGATTTCTGCTTAATAAAACTTGAGTTACGATATTTTTTAGAATTTCGTTACAATGGCTACCACATAAATCCTTAGCGACATTCGAAATCTGCTCGTTACGCGCTAAAGCAGCGGCTTAGCTAGAGGGGGCAAGAGGGGCATCTGTTCCCGGGCGCAGAATCCGAGGGGCGCCAAACTGATGTTACCACATTTTAGAATTAAATGTTTTGCATCCTTGGCAAGCAGTAGGGGGCGCGAAATCTTCAGTTGTCCCTGGGCGCTGAAAACCCTAGCTACGACTCTGCGCTGAAGTTTGCTAATTTTTTCAAATAATCAAACGCAATGGCCGCTTTAACTATGGAGTCCTTTTTCCCAGTTACTTTCAACAGATTTTGAGTTACATAAAGTAAATTTTACTATGCAGTCTTGTATGGCATTCTTTTTGAGAAAATCAGGTATGTGAAAACTGCAGAACATGTAAAGGTAGAACGTCATTTTCTCTGCAGGTCTGTTTGCTAAATAAGGTATGCATTCGAACTAGTTCTTTCAATATCAAAAATGCAATCATAATGATGCTGGCCTGTTTGCACTATAAAAATTAATAAGTTGTATCGCTTGATGGTAAGCACAATAACACTAATATGGCCTGCTTACAATATAATACGCTTAATTTATGATTCAATGCTGGAAACTAAGTTTCCGTCATATGTTATCTATTGCTGTGCTGTGTGGTAGCCTTTTTTCAATAATATATTTCAATTGTATAAAATTTCGTTGGTTTTAATATCTAGAAGTAAAATTCCTAGATTAAAAAGAATTTCTTTTCAGGATGTCCCGTTGTTGGTGAAAGAGGCGAAATTGTTATAGGTACTCCTTGTCCATCCTTACCTATTTACTTGTGGAAAGATACCAATAACAGCATAATGAATGCTACATATTTCAAGAAATATACGGGTAAGGTTTCCTCTCAGATTTATTTTAATGAAATTTCTGGAAGCTGTTTAAACATGATATATTCAGAAATAAACGTTACGAATTATTTGGTAAATAACTTATATATACTGTGAAATTTTTCAGGAGTTTTTTGTGTCGGTGATGAAGGCTGGATTAATCCGGAAACGAAAGGGCTTATAGTAATTGGAAGAAGGTAATTTTACTGTACATTATAAAACTGCTTGTTTCTGTCACAAATAACTCCAATTGTCAAATACAGATGGCGCCATGCCACCAAACATAGCTGCAGGGAGATAACGTCTGCATCACCTGAATTCTTATTTTTTTCGAATCATCCCAAAATAAGAGACAGATTAAAATCAATAAGTTAAGGAGGTAAATATTAAATAGTTAATAATCAAGATGGATCATAATTATTTGTACATCAATTTGCAACAAAAGCTTAATTGCAGTCAGTTGACATTTTCTGTCTATTAGTGTGTGTGTTGTATTTTATATGTGTTGCGTACGTGCTCAGTGATGACTACAAGATGTACACAAACATCGTTTATTCTACATTACTCATCTACTATTCTATATTACATTTATGGTTAAAGATAATAATAGATACAGTTACAGTTAGATATATAACATCTCCCTTTTTTATAAAAAATAATAATAGTAGTAAAATTAAACATATTCTTTTAAATAATAAGGTTTCTTAACAGTCCTACCAGATCGAGTGACGTAGTTTATGTCCATTTGAAAAATTTGATGATACTATACCTCTTTCACTATTGGTGACGCAACACTTCTGTTAGATTTTTTGAAGGACTTACAGGCACATCTAAATTTGTAGTGCTCCTACTATTTTCATGTATCTCGGGTTCATCTATAACTTCATTCTCATAGTTGTTTTGTATTGCAAACTCTTCCTGATTAGTTCCTTTAAGAAGGTCTCTTCTGTTCCTTTCTACAATTCTTCCATCTGTTCTTATAATCCTATATGAACGTGGTCTTTCTGCTTCTTCTATAATTTTCCCTCTTTTCATTTAGTTTTTTCCCCTTTCTCTTTTATGTAAACATGATCTCCTGTTTTCAGTCGTTTTAATGGTCTTGCATTCCTATCATAATAACTTTTTTGTAAGGTTTGTCTCTTCAGTAAATGTTGTTTATGGTCTTCATATCATTTAGCTTGGACAAAATTCTCTTTTATAGGCATCAATCCATTTACTTTTCTTCCAAACATCAATTCTGAAGGTGACTTAATTTCATCTGAAATAGGAGAGTTACGATATTCCAGTAAAACTAAATATGGATCCTTGTTGTCAACTACAGCTTTTTCTAACATTCGCTTGACAGTTTGAATATGTCTTTCAACCATTCCATTAGACTGCGGATATTTTGGACTTGAAGTTCTGGTTTCAAAATTCCATCTTCTTGCAAAATCTTTATATTTCCTGCAATTATGTTGTGGACCATTATCCGAATGTACTATTTTCGGAATACCATGTCTTGCAAAAATTGATTTCAATTGCTTTATCACTGCTACACTTGACAAATCTTCCAAATGTCCAATTTCAACATATTTGCTAAAATAATCTATAACTATTAGATAATCCCTTCCTTGAAAGTAAAAAGAGGTCTGTTCCCAATACTTCCCATGGACCATTAGGTATTTCTTTAGATATCATTGGTTCTTTAGTATTAGCTTTTTGTAAACTTAAACATGTTTGACAATTCAGTACCAAATCTTCAATTTCTTTGGACATTCCTGGCCAATATAATATTTCTCTTGCTTTGATCTTGCATTTTACTACTCCTAAATGACCATAATGAATTCTGCTTAACATATCTTTTCGTAAACTTCTTGGTACAACAACACAGGAATTTTTAAATATTAAGCTATTTGCTTCTGATAGTTCCTCTCTGAAGTTAAAATATGGTTTTGCCAGTTCTGGAACCATACATTTTTCATCCGGCCATCCAGTTTTAATTAATTTTCTTAAAACTTGTAGTTCTTCATCTTTTCCTGTTTCCAGTTGAAAAACTTCCATTTTACCATTAGACATTGGTATACATTCTACAACTAATCCAACATGAGCTTCTATTTCTCCTTCAAAGAAATCAGATCCTTTATCAGTGAATGATCTTGATAATGCATCCGCTATAAAAAGTTCTTTTCCTGGTTTATATTTTACCTCAAACTGATATGGCTGTAATCTTATACGCATTCTTTGTAGTCTTACAGGGCATTTATTTAATGGCTTTTTAAAAATTGATTCCAGTGGTTTATGATCACTTTCCACAGTAATATTTTTTCCAAATATATACTGGTGAAATTTCTCACACACAAATACAATAGCTAAAGTTTCCTTTTCAATTTGAGCATAATTCTGCTGTGTATCTGTTAATGCCTTAGATGCATATGCCACTGGTAAATTATTCTGCAGTAAGACTGCTCCTAGTCCTTCTTCAGATGCATTTACAGATAAAACTACTGGCATGTTTATATCATAATACTGTAAAAACTGGTTTATTTACCAAGACATCTTTTAGTCTTCTAAATGCTTTTTCATGTGTTGCATTCCAGTTCCAGATAACTTTTTTTTCAACAAATCTCTTAAACATGATGTCAATTCTGATACATTAGGTATAAATCTAGAAACATATGTAATCATTCCTAGGAAAGTTTCTAATTCTTTCACATTTTTTGGTGGTTTTATATCTAGAATAGCCTTAATTTTGTCTTCATCATCTGGTTTTAAACCATCTTTAGAAAATATATGTCCCATATATTTCACTTCATTCAGCCCAAATTTACATTTATTTAAATTAAATTTAACATTCTTTTCTCTGGCTCTGTCCAACAACTTCTTTAATCTTAAATCATGTTCTTTTTTATCTTTACCCCAAACTAATATGTCATCTATATATATTTGAACTCCTTCTAAATCCCTAAAAATTTCAGAAAAACTTCTGTGGAAAACTTCTGGTGATGAACTCAGTCCATATGGCAACCTCAAAGAACAATATCTACCAAACGGAGTGACAAATATAGTAAATTCACAACTTGAATCTGAGAGTTTAATTTGCCAAAATGCTTTGTTTGCATCTAAAATACTAAAGACCTTTGCATTTGTCATTTGAGATGAAATTTCTTCAAAGGTTGGTATGTGATAATGTTCTCTCAGTATATTTTGGTTAAGGTGCTGAGGATCTAAACACACTCTTAAATTTCCATCCTTTTTCCTTACTACCACTAATGAATTCACGAATTCTGTTGGTTGGTTAATTTTCTTTATAATACCATCTTTTTCCATCCTTTTTTAATGGATTTAATAAGCTAAGTGGAATTTTCCTACAGGGTTCTATTTTACCAACAGCTCCTGGTTTTAATTTATATGATATGTATATCCAGTTAAATTCCCAGTTCCTTTAAACAAATCTTGATATCCTTTTAAAAGTTTCTGGTAACCTTTCATTAGAATCAGGATTTACTGTACAAATCCTTTGTATTAGGTTTAATTTTTGCAATGTAGGTAAACCTAAAATAGCTGGAACAGTTTTATCACATGCTACAACTTGAAATTCTACTTCATCCTTGTCTCCTTTCGATGTCTCGCATAATAATTTACATTTTCCAACTACATCAATTGTAGTACCATTGTAATTATTTAAAGTGACTTTTGATTTAGTCAAACATTTCTCTCTTAAATTTAATTGTTTAAATTTAGGCAATGGTAGCACATTACACTGAGCTCCAGTATCCAACTTAACAAATAAATATTTAGATATGTTTACTTTTAGTTTTTCAAACCATTCGGTTTTATTTTTAGAAAATGGATTTATATCTTCTACTGACCCTAAAATATATTCATTACCATTATTATGTAACTCATGCTCTAAATTATTCTGTACAACATTAACATTTTTATAAGTGCACATTTTAGAAAAGTGATTTTTCTTTTTACAGTACAAGCAAATCTTATTATAAGCAGGACAGTTGTATAACTTATGAAAAGTTCCACATTTTCTACATGGTTTTGGATTATTGTACTTATTTCCTTGATAGTTTGAAGAAGATTTAGTACTTTGTTGCTTTTGTTTTACATGAAAGTCTTTCTTACAAGGCTGACTTTTTTCCTCTGAAGGTCGAAATTTATTACGTTTGATAGCTTCTATTTTATTTTCTTCTTCAGTTAAAGTTTTCAGCTGAAGTTCTGCTAATTCAGAAGCTTTACACATTTTAATACATTTCTCCATTCTTTCTCTTCATGTTAAATCTGATCCCTAATAATCTTCCCTTATCTTTGAGATTTTTATTTAGAATTCCACTTACTATTCTATCCCTTATTAAACTATCTTTTAATTCTGCAAATCCACAGTTGCTACTTAATTTCTTTAAATCGGTTAAGAAAATCATCAAACGATTCACCTACATGTTGTGTTCGACAGAAAAATATATGTCTATCAACACTTTCGTTTGCTTTCGGTATGCAAAAATTTTCGAAAGCTTCAATTACTTTGTCAACATCCTTCTTATCTTCTTCACTTAAAGTATTAAATTTTTCAAGTGCTTCTTCACCAATTATATGCAATAAAATAGCTACTTTAATTTCAGGTGATTTAGTAATACCACCAGACGCTAACATATAAATTTGGAATTTTGTTTTCCATTTCTTCCAATTTTCGCTTAAATTTCCTTCGAAACTTAGATTACTTGGTGGCTTTAATCCATCCATATTTAATTTAGGACTTTAAATAGTTTATATATACGTATTTTTAGCCACTTCCAATAAAAATAAAGAACTCACTTACCAGCGATATAAGTTTCGATTTCACAGTAAACAACTTCCCATGATGTTTTTGTTTAGAACATCTTTACCGAGGCTGCATGGTTGTTCAAAAAAGATTTTCTTTTTTAATCAACGACGGGTACATTACTCATCTACTATTCTATATTACAGTTATGGTTAAAGATAATAATAGATACAGTTACATATATAACAGTGTGGTTATGAATTTCTTTTCAAAATTCTTAGTACAACATTGGGTAGTAATAAGCATAATGACTCAAAATGCTGTTTAAAAGCATTTTTAATAAAAAAATTAAATATCAAAATTCTAATTAATTATTGCATACTTTATAATTTTAGCAGATAATTTTAAAAGGAATTCAGAATCTAAATTATATTGAAATTTGAACTGCATAAATGTGTTAAATATTTTTTTGTTGGTATAAAATGCTCACAATTACCTTTATAATTCATTTATGTTATTATTATTACTGTTTGTGTATGTTCTGATAAATATTTGTTGGAGAAATTTAAAATTTAATTAAAATATTCTTTATTCTGTTGATAAAATTTTTTGATTTTGCAAGAAAAGGGAAAAAATATTAATTATTAAGGATAGCGCTAGTGTTACGCGTTGTGTCCGGCTTATTGACAAATAAAGCCATGAAAGGACATGACATTAGAAATTCCCAATGAAGTAATCCCAGAGAAAAAAGCTTTGCAATAGAAGCAGCAGCCAAAAATATCACAGGCGGTAGAGAAAAGTTCAAATTTGACTAGTTTGAGTTACGCATTGGGAAATGCCGGAAATAAGAGTCCATAAGATGGCGCCATCTAGTGAAGCACATAAGTATTAGAAAAATAATTTTTAGAAGTTATCTATCAACGACGACACTTCCAAGAGCAAGTAAAACATTTTCTTAGGGGATTGTATCTTCTTGCATTTTTCGACAAATTCAATAAATTTGAAGACAGCTGGAAACTTTCATCCACTCTGAAATCCAGAGCAGTTTGATTCAATACATCAGAGTAGGAATTCAATTGATTGAGTGCGATCTTTAACAATCAGATTTTCCAGACGCCGGAGGAAAGAAATCTGAGGTAAATTTAACTTCTAAGGTCCGTTCTTTCTACGGACATTGGGTAACTTCGGCATCGGGATCCACTTCTTAGGATCAGCTCTGTTGTAAATTTTAGGGAGAAATTCTCAGGACTTCTGCTAGCCAATATGATCCAACTTGCAGTTACAAGTCGGCTTTTCATCTTTCGGTAGTTTACAAGTGTAAGCCAGATGGTTCTGCCCATACTTCAGACATCTAAATGAATTGTTGCAGAACATCTGCCCATGTCCATAACTCTGGCACCGAAGACAGATCGTATTGTTTCTATCGCTACCATATTTGCGAAAAATCACTCGAAGATCATGTAATGTCCTTCTTTCTACTTCTTACTACGTTCCACACACAAGTTATCAGTGAGGCCCCGAATCACAACTTTAAGCAGCATTTCTTTCTTAGTTCTGAAATGATTGAACTACACCTCATTTTGAATAAGTACAGCCAGCGCAATATCAAGATCAAGATTTTTTTTTTAGACGAAAAAAAATGTTTCATCTAAAAATCATCTCATGAATTTTTTTAGATTATATTAGAATAAAAGTTATCTAAACTCAATAAAGCATAAACTGATGAATATCACACTTAAAAATAAATTCGATTTTCACTATGCTATAAATTCAGAAATTAGTAAACTTTCCGCATACATATTTTAGAAGGAATATAAATTGCAAATCAATATTTCATAAAAATAGATTTCATAATAATACAAATGCAAAATTAATCGTAATTATCTTTCTGTGGCTGCGGGAGGTAAAGAACAGCGGGCAACATGGTCTGAGTTAAAGATCAGGATTATCATGATCTTCATCATTATTATTATTTTGTTTATTTTATTTTGAAAATCACTTTTTTTCTCAGCTGCCTTTTTACAGTGTCGAAAATAGTAAACTTTAAATTCCGTTATTTGAATTTATTATTTAGTGATGATGCTTTGATACAAAATGGAGAACGATTTGGAGCGACAGATGTGTATTTTGCTAGTAAGTAAAATTTTTCGATTAAATTAATTACATATTTGTCATGTATTATAAAATTAATTTTAGTTAAATAAGTATAATGAATATTAAAATGAAATATAATCTGTCTAAAACTCATGACTGTGAAGTACATTTTAACACATTAACAATCAATAATATTTAAAATAGCAGTATTTTGGGTTCAAAATACCATTAGTATTTATTTTCAAGGCAGAAAAAAATCTGGTGTAACTAGTTTGAGGTTAAATTAACGGGATGCATTTCATATAAAAAGCTTTTGCGGAAATCACAATAGCTTTAGGACATTAACCAAAGTTAAAAAATTATAATACTATATCATGCATTGATTTCATTGTGTGCAAAGTAAAATAAATCATTTAATGAATGAAAAATTCTTTGAAGCGCCTGAAATTTCTGCATACTTTGAAAATTTTAACTTATTAAAGAAGTTATGGAGTTAAATAATAGAATAAGCATAAATTTAATCTTTCATGAATTACGAAGATACACCAAATTATTAATTATCTGGGGGAAGGGAGGGGGATCATTTCTCGTGCTGTAAACCGTCCCAGTCCCGTAGGCGGACGGTTAAGTTATCTTCGCTTAGGTTTTTTACTGTAATCTTTCCCTGAGATTTAGCAGGTACCTTTGGGTACAACAAAATGTCCTCTTTTAGGACACATGGCGACTCCTCTGATGATGATATGGAATATGACCGATCGATGGTTTCTTCTAAATCTGCGCAGTTCCGACTACGGCGTGAAGATTTTGTCAAGACACCTAGGAGGGCGAGCAAGAAAAAGAAGATAGTTACCTCGGTTGACTTCAATGATGAAGGGTTTAATGAACGTATAAAAGAAGCGAGAATGATAGAAATGTTGCGGAGAAACTCTGAAATGGCGCGGATACTGCAAAGATTTGATGATAGCACTCCTGCAGCAGTTGCGAATAGCCCCGCGGAAAAAGCTTCCCAGACGGACAGTGATAAATCGAAGGAAAAACCCATGGACGTCACCCAAGAAAACGGCAAGGCAACCCTCCAATACTGATCAGATGGAAATATCTACTGACAATAGATTTGATGTACTGAATGAGACTTCGAAGGAACCGGAAAAAGAATGCACGGAAGAAAGGCCACCCCCTATTGTCTTCAAGCAGGAACTGGTTGACTGGCTTATAGTCGAACGCGATCTAAGAGAAATTTGTACTGCGGATGTTGAAGAGACTATGAAAGTAAAACTTATTTACGTGAATACAAAGAATATGATGGACTACAAAAACGCTTTGAAATTCCTGAAGACTAATGAAATCCCGTTCCACACGTACCTGACGGATAATGAAAAACCGTTGAAAGTCATCTTGAAAAATCTGCCGACCAAAATCACTGAAGAGTCAATATTTAATGATATCGCCCGAAGGAAGTTCCCAGTACTGAAGGTGAAGCAATTCTGCCGAAGAAAAAAATTTAACTCAGAAAGGCTGCCGATATGGCTCATCGAACTAAAACGGAACGACGCAGGACATGCAATATATCAGCTGAACTGTATGTTCAGCATGAATATAAGGATAGAAAAATACAGCCCGAAGAAACGACCGCTGCAGTGCTTCCGATGCCAGGAGTGGGGGCACTCCCAGCACTTATGTTCTAATGAAACAAGATGTTGTAAGTGCGGCGATAACCATCGCAGTAATACCTGCCCCAGGAATCAAGATGGTACTCCCACCTGTTTGTTCTGTGGAAAAAATCACGTAGCCAGTTATCGTGGATGTGAAGTATACAAGAAAAAATTCGATAGGAAACCAGCCCGCCCCCGGAAAAACGCAGGATCAACCCTTAATACTGATGTGTTTCCACTCCTTTCTGAAAAACCTGATGCTAATACCACCTTAGTGAGGGGAACTCTCTACAGCGAAATGTTAAAAAAGAGGCCAAGCCAAGACCCTGCAGAAACTGGAAAAGGTCCTTCTGGGCCCACTTTCCCACAATCGCAGATGCCTGTGTTGTATAGACCAAACCTATGCAGATGGGCTTTGTACGATCCATGTCCTGTTAGGAAATGTGACATGATGCCAGTTTTGCTCTGCAGATCCATGCTTAAACATGGGAGCATTGCATGTGTACGTCGACCCGTTGTAGCTTCTCACTCTGTTCGTATCCTTCCTTTCTTGTGTTTGGTGTTGTCACTACCGCGCCAGGAAAGCGTTTCCAACCACGCCTTTCTATGTGATTTTAGATATACTTTATCTCTCCTGAAAGTTTATAACCGCTATGTTTAAACACCCTGCATAATTATATTATGTAAAGCTAAAGTCGCGTACAATAATGTTTCATATTTTTATTTGGAGCCCAATGAAAAAAATACTGTTGGAGTCGTGGTAAGAATGTGAAGTACAAGGGAAGGAGAACAGAGTCCGAATTTTCTTTTTTTTTTTTTTTTAATAATATCTAATTTTTCTCTTTAATGTTTGTTCTCTTGCTTTTAAAAGATTATTAGTAAAATCAACAAAATTGTTTAAATTAATTTCATTAAGGAATAATTTATGTGTTTGTGCAATAAACTTTACACGCCTTGTCCACAAAAGCCATTTATTTTGGCAATGACATTTATTACACTGGCATTTATTTTCGCAATAGTTGGTCGTATACATATTCTTTCAAAACTGCAAAAATGTTTGAAATGTTTCAAATATTCATGTTTCCCCATTTGTAAATTAAAAATAATGTAATTTTGTATAAAATACGAAATCCGACGTTTTACATGTTTCTGTGGTCCTTATACTTTTATTTGAGGAAATCGTGTACTCTTAAATCATTAAATACAAAAAATTTGACTTCCGTACAACGAAAATTTAACGAGATACTTAATGTCAAAATTTCTATATTTGATGTCATTTTGAATTTGTATTGAGGTGTCGGTTAATAAAAAAATTAGAATAATTCGAGACTGAATTTTTTTTTCCTTAAATATTAGTCAATGATTCTGTTTTGTGATTTACTGCTGTCTTTAATTTATACTTTTGTTGCATTGGTTAAGCTGAAAGAATTATCACACAAGTAATTTTAAATTTCTCAAAGTCTAAAAATACGTTACCAGTATTCTCAAAAATTTTATCACCTTAGAATCGTAATCGGGTAATCCTAAAAAATTCACTGAATTACAAAAAATTTTCATTTTTTAATTAATATAAATAATATTACTAGTTGGCTACGTTGCAGTGTTGCCTGATGCCAATCCAATTCTGAAAACGAATACTCTAACATTCTACGAATAACAGCTCTATTCCGAAAAGAAAAATTATGTTGATCAATGGTTTTTACAATAAACTCATATAAATTCTTGTCACATAATCACATTGTATCAGAAAACTTCTTTTAAACGATATTTTATCTTTAGTTACGTACAAATGCAAACATTTAGCTCATTAATCTGTGTAAGGGCCCTGAATGTGATTCTCGTCTTGAATACCATATATCTCAATCAATTTCTGTCGTACGGGAGTCAAAAGTTTAGCATTTTATTTTTTATAACGAGCAACGAAAGCAAAGGCTTTTCTAAATTGGTGTATATGCACAGGGACCGCAAGAACGTGTAAAAAAGCTAGAATTCGTAATCTTTATAAAATAAATTTCGTTAAGCTAAAAAGTGCCAAAATAGGAATTAGTGAGTTATTTAAAACATTTTAGTAACTAGAAATATACGTCTATGACTAAACATTGCGAAAGTAAAGGCCGGGTAAGGACTTTTGTGGGCATGGTGTACATCAACATTTTGTTAAATTATGTATTTATAGTCAATGAGATGAAAGAAATCATGGATGGACGTGGTGTACATTAATCTTTTGTTAAATTATGTATTTATAGTCAATGAGATGAAAGAGATCATGGACTACATATGCGTGAATCAGAGTAGAAATGATGGTGAATGCAGGGCTGTTCTTTTCGTCAAACTGAAAGAGGGTTATGAGTTTACACCCGAACTCAAAGCAAAGATAGCCGAGACTATTGAAAGAGAACTGTGGGAAGACTGTGTGCCAGAGGTCATTTTGGAGGCCCCAGACATCCCTGTAAGTATCGATAAGTATGTATTATTTTAAAGAAATAAAATCTTTTGCACAGAGTGCTATATAAAGTGTTAAGTTCGTACAAAATCTAATGTTGAAGAAAACAAAATTATTCTTTTTTGACATTCAACATAAAATCCTTGTAATCTATATAGCCCTTCATAAATTTCATCTTTGTAACACTCAAATCAAAGTAACTCAGATAAAATTTGTTGTTTGGATCAAATTAAAGCATTTAAAAAGCCTTTCTGGTTTGGAGTCGATACGTGAGGGTTAATGTAAGTTTCTTTCTGGTTTGGAGTCAATACTCACGTATTGATGTAAGTTTCTTGACGGTTAATGTAAGTTTCTTGACGTCAGTTTCTGCGTTTATTCTAAGTACTTTCGTGTCCGTGACGAAATGGTCCGACCCGTCGAAAAACAATGGATCGTGTGTTACTTGATACGCATGCGCATAAAAAATATCTGCGTTGCTGTTCTTCCCGCTTTGCTTTTCTGCTGTGACGTCTTCAGTTTTCTGACGAGCACCTCGAAGTTCTCGGAAAAAGGTTATTTCCTAAACATCATTTAGGAATTCTCTTGAAAACTGAACGTTACCTACAATCACGTACCGTTCTCAAGTCTTTGTTTCCTTCATATTGGTTCAAAAAAGAAACATTCTTCCGTTCCCTAGAAAGCTGGAGTCTCAGATTCCTTAATGTAAAACTACCACACATCTGATTATATTTATTTTGTTATGCATTCTCATAGACCACCCGGTTCGAGTGCCGAGTCGGAAAGGAAAATTCTCACGGAGATTTCACAGGCCTGCCATCATTACATCCGCAACTAATGAGGGTACTCTCGCCAATCGAGAGGCACTCCGAAAACTTCAGGCAAATAAGAATTCAGAAAATCATCCCAACATGCCCAAGACAACTTGAGTGAATGAGTGAGTGAGAGGTTATGGCGCAAAACCCCAGGACAACTTGAACAAAACAGAGAACGCAGCTCCAATAGTTAGTTAATGAGTTAGTTTCGCAGTGGAAAGAGAGGGACTTTCTCTCGTGTGTTTCAGCTCTCAAAAGTAATTTTGGTTCGCTGTGCCAAGAGCATTCATATCTCTCTGCGGCTAGATCCAATAGCTGGTAGCCGGATTTGCTGCTACGTAACTTCAAAGCAGATTGCTCGGAACAGCCAGCTCCGGCCAGGAGAGGCAATAACAAGGCTGTTTCTCTTGCATGGGAACTTCACCTTCCATCTAAAGAAACAAATTCTCCTTGAGAACTTTAACGGACTTTGTGCATCATATGCTTTTTGTTTTTGTTTTATAATTTTTCTTGTCTTTCTCATGAGAACATTATCTTATAAATTATCTGCATATAGCCTAGAATTAGAATCTTAAATAAATTAAACACGCTACCTTCTGACTTGTGTCAACTCTCTACAGTGCTAATATTTATTTATGGAGGTGAGATATCTTTTCACAACTAACGTTTTTTTATTGATAAAAAATTTAGACTTTACATTTAAGGGTTTCATATTTCAAAACAAATCTTATATATATATATATATATATATATATATTAAGCAAATCCACATGGGAAAAAATTATTTACCCATATTATTGTTTTGTTCTTCACGAATGCCTTCATTGTGCAGTAATGAAATGTAATTTAAAAAAGCGATAAATTACATAGCAAAAAGTAAGAATTAAAGAAATAAGTTAGGAAATAAATTCCATTACATTTCATCATGAAATATTTCTGAATATCCACAGTTTACAGACCTTTCTAAATTATGTACGCAATGCAAGTTCTGAATTTGGAAGTGCATTTTATTGGACAGAAGTTTCTATTGTCTTCCGTTGAGATTAAATGATAAGTCCAAAAACACTTTTCGAAAATAAGCAATTTAAGCTTGAGGTGTAAACGACTTGTTAAATCCTTTGAATTTTCAAGCTCAATGAAAGTTATCGAAGATTGGTAATCTTGTTTGTGGATAGGCTTAGCCTTAGTAGGACAGAAGGAATACATATGGAAGATTATCGGTGACTGTGTATAACCTGGATGCTGAAGAAAGGTCCAGTTAGAAAACTGAGAATTTCATATGGGAGGACCATTCTGTTATTTCATAATTATTTAAATAATTATAGGTGCCTTTGTTTTCTTTTCGTTTTGCCATCGACAAAACAGTTGGCCTACTAGGAGCCTGGGACAATTACCCGGAAATCTGTTTCAGGACATTTTTGGGCTGCAGGATGCTTTGATGATTAGCACATCGCATTACTGACTAAACGCCATGGCAGAGAGACCGCATCAATTTTCTTAACAGTGGCCAATGCAAGGATAGAAAAATCGACATCTACCAATATTATTGACACAAAAACTAGGTATTAAGACTTCAGTGCTCAATCACTCATAATTTATATATATATATATATATAAAGAGGAGGTCGTTAAAGTTAGAGCAGCCAGATTAAGTGAGGGTTGTTACAGCTTGACCAGTTCAAGGATCCATTGTAGTATTCATAGGTAAGTCAAGATTTGCTCTATATTCAAGCAATAAACGCGAAAGAATTCAAGAAGAATTAAGAAACAAGATTATTAGTTCATCACATTATTGAAGACTACGTCTTTACCTTAGTAGTATCATAGCACGATTTGAATTTTCTTTTAATAAATCAATAAAATGCACGTGTTCAGAAAAGATATATTGACGACGTATGACATTCAGGTGTCTAATGCCTGCGTGAAATTGTCGGTTGTACAATGGGTGCAATATTAGTTTAGATGATAACACTTGTCCACACAAAGCAGGAATGGTGACAAGTACTTTGAGAGCGAAAGTATACTCGTATTCAGGGATCAACGTGCTCATCAAGTATTACTACAATTAAATATTAATAGAAGGTCATGTGCCTGTAAAACTATTTATCCGAATGAAGGTGTGGTGCTATGCGAAACAAGAGCTAGTTAACGTATTTCATTGAGAATCACTTAATTCGTATGGAATTACTCCCCCCCCCCAGATTTAGCAAACCTAAAGCAGGAACATAAGCATTTGAAAAGCATCTCTTGATCTATTATAATGCTTATGACTGCATAACTCAACTGAGCATCTTTTCATAAAGTATGGAGTCAATTATACCATTATTTTTGCGTTGCTTTGAATTTATCACTATGTGTTTTCGAAAGCCTCTTCTAGGTAGGAGTGCTTTTAATTTAATAACTACCTACTAAGAAGAAAAGGAAGCAGGAGTCTCCAAAAGTGAATAAGTTAATCTTTGATTGAAAGAATTGCTTTATGTGGCGAAGAAATATTATTGAATTGCGAAGAAAATATTATGGAATATTTTCTTTCGCCGGCTAATGAAGAAGAAATTCGAGAATGCTTAATTAAATTACCGCATTTTGTTCGGAATACGTTAGAAATTAAAACTATTTCTCATGCATGATATTTTGAACCAAAAGCAAGTTTAAATTGAAATTTTAGAATTTGATTGAAAAAAGACACCAAATTTTAAAACTTCCTAGGAACTAATATTTATAGGGTCCCCCCCCCAAGCTTGAATAATATTTTAAAGGTAAATTTCTTAAAAAAGATATGGCGCATATTAGCTTTTATAGCATTTTAAATATTTGTATTTCAAAACGTTATTACAAATGAATACCTACGCATTCTTATATTACAAAATTGAAAATTGAAAATAATATTAAAAATAATTAAAATTAATTAAAATTATAACTGCAGAATTCATATTAGATACTGGAGAATAACGTTCTTAATTATAAAAATAGGTTATTGATTAGAATTACAAATTCTCAGTATAATATAGCGTCTTTTGTCTTAGAAACTTGCCCAGTGCCTCGTTTCTGTTATATAACAAAGTCAGATTAGTAATCTTCAGTAATACTTCGCGATCAATAATAATATTTCTCGGCTTCGGATCCTTGTCATGGCGAACCCTTTTAAATACTAATCTGTAATGATATCAGACGTATACCGAATTTCGAGTTAATAATCAAGGATAGAAATTATTTATTAATTATTTAAAAATTCTTGTCTTTTGGCTTTTAAACCATTAGCCGTCTAGCTCCCAATATCCAAGGTTACAGAATCAAAACCATTGAATGCATAGCATGTACTTAAATATTTATCTATGGTTTATCCAGAGTCACCAAGAGAAACAGAATGGTGGTCCGTCTTTTAACCGTGGCAATCATGTCAGGTTAAAAGACGGACCGGTGCCACATCTGTAGCACAAGAATTTGGAATAGTAATATCTCTTGTTCTGGAGACATTGCTTAAAATTTGTTGCTCTGCTTTTGATTCTGCCCGTGAAAATCTGAACTCCTTTTAGTGGTATTTTCTATACATCGTGATATATATTAAATTGTTTTCTGTTCTAATAGATTCAGCAATTCCTATTTCTTCTATTCTGACCATTTAAGAAACTATGTTTTTATATTCTACTGCTGACATGTATTTTACGTTAAGTGCAAAAACATCAGAGATTCATGACTCTTGATGAATTACTACACAGGACTTTAACACAGGACTGAACTAAAAGAGCAGATACTGCTAATAGAGATTTATTATTAACTATATTTTAATTAATCACATATTTGTATCTGATAATTAGAGGTTAAATATTTCCTTGATTTTTCTATTTTAATTATTTGTTTCACAATCTGCATTATTTAAAATTACGTAACTTTAAATAGAATAAAATATACTAATTTTAAATATACTGTTTTCAGTATAATTTGAACAATAAAAGAATGGAAAATCTTGTCCGGAAAATTGTGGCAACCAACCAGATCCCTGAAGTAAACAACATCAAGAATCCGGATTCTTTGAAATACTTTTGTGATATTCCAGAGATTCTGAATTATCTGAACAAATAAAAAACTTGTCATATCTTTCTGCTTTGTTCATTATCAGAAATATTATTATATTTTCAATTTAAACTATAAATGTACTCATTCTGTAAGCAATACTGTAAGAAGAAATCATTTATTTTCAGCAATGTACATTTGAAAGCTAAGATAGAATTTCAATAAAGCGAATTTCGAACGGTAAGAAAAGGTTATGCATTAAAGTCTTTTATTAAAGACTATTATTAAATATTAATAATTTTATTAAAGACTATTTTATTTTTATTAAAGACTATTTATTAAAGTTATTTGTACTGTTTATATTCAGACAGAAAGAATGGAATAAATATGCTGTGTGTCTCTATTTATTGTTTGGATACATTTATTTTCTACTACCGAGGTTCAATATTATCATAGCTAAAAACTGTTATTAAATATTAACATTATTATAGCATTATGTGAATAATGCAGTTTGCGTACAAAGTTTCACCATCATGGAGGAGCCGTCACAAATGAATGAAATTTTTTCAATATGCAGTCAGTTGTGATAGCAAAATCAAAAAGGTTTTTACAGCATATGTACAGAATCTACGATAGCATATTAAGTGTTGCCATTAATTAGTTTTCAATCTTTTCTCGGTTTATCACATCAGCCTTTAGTATTTTAGTACTTATCGTAAGATGATTGATTCAACTTTTTTTTTTTTTTTTTAAACTTTCTTAACTAAATATCCCTTTCTTCGTATTTTCTCTACTTAAAATTCAAGAGCAAAATCACAAAATTTATAAAAATGTGAACATGGCAACAGTGGCACTGTTTAACCACTGGCAATGTAGGTATTGTCCCAGCTACACCAGGAAATCGCACCACACAAAGACCATAAAGAGCCGCCGGGGCCGAATGAAATGCAATGTACCACGCTTAATGTATGCCCCACCACGAAATTTACCTCCGTCCAAGGCCAATTTTCCTCAAGGCCTTATCAGTTTGAAAACATTCTTTTGCACTTCTGGTTCCCTCCAGGAAATTTCTACTGAACGAAAGAGGGCGTTACTGTTCTGCTGTACTTATGTTTATAGTGAGTAGAAATGTATCAAAAATTAATACTGGTTTGTTATACACAAAAGTTAAAAATGATTTATCCGTAGCAGATAAAATTGTATTTTATTTAGTATAAATACATTTATTTAGTAAGAAAGCGTGAAATCTTTTCGTAGGTAATCACTGAATATTTGCTCCCAGTTTTAATTCCTGCCTTGTATATAAGGGTCAGCTAGTGTCAGTTGTATTTACATGAAATATTTTATTTAAAACTTAAATTTATTTTTAAATTATTTGTTTAACAGTTTAAAATTATTTATTTGTAAGAAGTTTGTAGACAAGTGCAAACATAAGTAGTTTTGATTTTTCTCCTATTTTCAACTGTGTTCAGGAAACGAAGAAGTTACTCGTATTAATTATTTAAATGACGTATTAATAAATTACGATTTAAAATTTGTACATCTGTTTGTGCATAAAAGAAGCATTTCTAAAAGGTATTTAATTTTAGGTATTTTTTTTTTTTTTTTTTTTTTTAAATTAAAGAAACACAATAAGTTTCTCATGTACCACATAGTATCACATGGGGCTTACAGGACTAAGTATATGTGTGTGTGATTATGGCAAAGCCTCGAGGGCTATCTGCCTAAGGGGAGGAATGCCTTCGTGGAGGGCTTTCTAAGGGAAACTGGCTAGTATACACGTTACACATGGGGAAAACCACGAAAACGCCCATGCAGCCATCCCGTTCTCGGGATTCGAACCTCGAACCGAACTACCAGTGTTCAGCGACTTTACCGCTCGGCCGCTGGTGTCCCAGGACTAAGTATGAAACACAATACAAAATAAACAGAAGAAAAAACTGAAAAAAAATTAAGGATGATTTCAAAGTTTCACAATAAATTGACAAAAAGTGTTAAGAGCACTTCTCTCGGAAATAAATTAGTAAAATCCTGGAGGCCAGTTAATATTAAAGTTTTTCAGTTCCAGTTTAAAAACTTTTCTTTCGTTCTTATATTTAGGACATAGAAGAAGCACATGCTCAACATTCTTCTCTCCACCGAGGCTACAATCACAGACAGACTCGGAGCTCAACTTAAATCTATTCAAATAACTTTTGAAATTTCCATGGCCAGTAAGAAATTGGGTTAATTTATAGTCTGTGAAGAAGTGATGACATGAAAATCTCATCTTGATAGAAGGGAAAAATCTCTTTGTTAAGTTACCTTTATTTGAATTAATGAATTCGTGGTTCCACGACTCCACAATACTTTCATACATGACCTTCTTATAAAAGGAATTAGGGATATTGACAAAAATATCAATTTCCCGCTTAGCAAGAAAATCGTTCCCAACAACACCTGTATGACCACGAGCAAATGAAAATGCAACCGAAATATTTTGATCTTTTAGGTTTTTCAGTTCTTTTTGAATCTCGATAATGATATTATTAGAAGAAGAAATACATTTTAAGATCTCCAAGGATGAAAGGGAATCAGTACAAATGAGATAGTCTGAAACAGCACTATTTTGTTCAGAGACTCATTTGATGGCGAAGTTTATGCACAAAAGTTCAGCTATAACAACGGTACATTCATCTCTAATTCTAAATTGAAAGTGCTCAAATTCAAGACCATTTTTGAAGACAACAAATGCGAGACCAACCTTGCCATCAATTTTGCTGCCATCAGTATAGCAAGTTGCAGGCGAATCATCTACGATTTTATTGCTAAACTGAATAAAATTAACAGCATTTTTTTCTGAAGGATGAGGAAGATCAGATGGAGGTAAAATACAATCATACTGAGAGACAGCAGAAGCAGAAATATTTTCCTTATAAGAAATAGCATTAAGAATGGCAAGCGTTTTTTATAGTGAAATAAGCATTTGTAGGAAATTTAAAAAAAAAAAAAAAAAAAAAAAAAATTAATTAATGCAAATTTAGAGTTTTGGACAGTAAATGCGCCGTTACTGATATTCTAAGTAAACTATAATTATTATGGAAAACAAAAAAAAAAAAAAAAAGGAACTTAGTTTGTAACAGGTTTTGAATAAAACTCGAAAGTAAAGTTGCTTCTTGACCTAATTTTGATATAACATTGTAATGTGTCGCTTCCACTTACAACTTTTAATTTGATGGGTAATCGCATTAAAAATATTGGAAATTAAACAAAGCGTATTCCAGCTACTTACGATTTGAAACCTCGTTATCTCACATAAAAGGATTTTAGAAAGAAAACAAAAATTACTCTCATAATTACCAATTTATAATTTACTTATTAAATTAGCATTATACAATAGTTTTGTTCTTTCAGCTCAAACTTTGAAAGTAATGTCTTAAGCAAGAACTATGATCAATAAAAGAGAGGAACATAAAGGCGTACTCGATCCCAATGGTTGTAATCCCATGGAGAAGCAAAGGATTACACTATAGTGCTTATAAGTCTTTTTTGATTGATTAATATAATATATTTTTTCATAAAATTCATTAGTTCTTCATTAGTTTTATTCTTCATAAATAAACTTTTAATAATTTCAGTAAAAAATAGCCTTATATTTGCAGGTGCGACTGGAGCTTTTTGATACCTACCATTGGCGTGGGAAATGAAATGGTATTTTCTGAGATCTTTTTCAATATTGCTTAACTACAGACTAAAAACAGAGGAATAAGTGGATTGGAAAGCGTTTATAACGTAATTCGCAATTCTTCTTCTCATTCTGAGGCACTACAGCCTACTGTTGGTCAAGGCCGTCTCAGTCAGTCTAAGCCATGTGGACCTATTCATGGCAATACTTCTTGAGTCTCCCCTATGTATGTATTAATGTCATCCTCAATAGCATCAAGCCACCTAATTGGTGGTCTTCTTTGCTTTCTAGCTTTCATAGGTTTGGTAAATGTGAGTTGTTTTACTGGGTTTGTGTCTTCAATTTTGTATAAATGACCCAACCATCGAATCCTGTGGCTTTTTATGACCTTTACAATATCAGGCTGTTTAAATGTTTGGTAGATTTCATGATTATACATTGATCTCCATACACCATTTTCACAAACAGCGCCAAATATTTTTCTGAATATTTTTACGAATCAGTAGTTTACTTTCAATTATTTTAGTCATTGTCCAGCACTCGCAGCCATATAGTATCGTGGGGGACGTAACAGGTTTTATATACATTAATTTTAGTAGTACGGCAGATAGATCAAGATTTGAATTGATTTTTAAGACCATGGTAGCACCTATTTGCAGTGAGGAGCCTGTTATTAATTTCTCTAGATACTGTAAAGGCTCTTATTTTCGCGAGGCTTTAATTTTCGCGAGCTCGTCGTAATTCGTGAGCTCGTCGAAAATTTAAGCCTCGTGAAATACTTTTTTTTTTCCGCCTCAAATAATAATACAAAATCAGAAATTTTTCCGTTACCCAAAATTTAATGATTTATTGCACAGTTACAAGCTTTTTCTTGACAACTTTCTTTCTTATAACTATTTTTTGAATAATATACAACTATATTCCTCGAATATAAAACAATAAAATTAATAGAAGGCAGTTCATTCACTTAGAATACTATTTATACCAGCTTCTTTGAAGTCATTCAAAATGATCTCATGTTTGGCTTCAATACCGTTAAATACGCACACAAGCCAAGAAGCAAGAATCGGTTTTAGTCGTAATATTCGCAAGTCCACAGATTCTTTTTCCTCTAGAAATCGAAGTTCATTAGAATACCACTCAATAAACTCATTCTTGAGCAAACGCTTGAACTCGCCATTTACAGTTAAGTCCAAAGGTTGAAGCTCTCGTGCAGGAAGCGAGCACAAAAACTGGAATAATATTCCTCTTCTTTAGTTCAGTCAGAAAAAGAGGATTCTTGGTGTGCCTTACAAACGTCAAACAATGCTACATCAGGTTGTTCTGGAACTAGCCCGAGAAGCTCGTTCTGCTTGTCGTAATAAGATACAAGAAATTTCTTAAAATGCTTTATGCAAAAGATGTACTTTTGGAATTTTTAAACTTTCTCAATTTTACTTAGGTACTTTTGAAATTTTTCAACTTTCGGTTCTGTTCATATAAAATTCGCGAAATTTTCAACTCGCGAAATCACCGACATATTCATTTTCGTGAAAATAAGGGCTTTTACAGTAAATCATTATTATTAGTGACAATAGTTCCAAGATATATTTGAATTGTGCCATATTTTCAAACGTATAGACGTTCACAGCCAATGGCGACGGATTAGTTAATTTATGCGCAATTTCTAAAAAAATTGTTTTATCTACATCTATGGTTAGGCCTAATTTTCTTGTCTTAGCTTCTAATAGA